AAATCCGGGCACGTCTGTAACAATTTTATTTTTCATGTAAGTAACATGTATAATGTAATGCCCAATATTTCCTGAAAAATTAGAACCTTGCGGAGTGATTTTCATGATCTTCTATCTCAGTGTACGTCTATCAGATTCCAGAAATACTTAGATAAATTTCTAACTCGGAATATCTCAATCCTCAACCATTTTTCATCTCTATGTTCCAATAAATGTAGAGTTAGGGGGAATATCACCCAAATCCACCGTAAAAACTCACGAAGTACTTCCCATAAACAACTAAAAAAATTCATAAACTTTTCTAATGATTGTTGTTTTGTTTTGACGCAGTTCTTGGGACAGATCTTGAAAAAAAGAGCCTCCCTTTCAATGCATCAAATTTTCTATTTTTATTACAAAATGTCGGTTGATTTAAGCAGGACATTTTCTCAGACCAGAACCTCTCTCTGTATGAAAGCAAAGGAAAGCCCATTTTTTCTAATATCCTCTTTTAAACCTTTTTGGTGTGGAGATGAAGAAAAGAAAAACCTGCCTTTATTTTTCATTCCAATTACCTTCCTCCCTCCTCTTTTTTTCACCGTGCCATGTACCCTCAATGAATTTCAATTATTTGCTTACTCATTCTTTTGTAAGTGCAAAACAGAGTGTGAAAGGAAGATTTTATTTAATGACAATGCTTATTATAGACACATCTATTTTTAAAACTATTTCTAGAACTTGGGAGTTCAGCAAAAAAATGCTCTTCAGTTAGTGATAAGAAAATTCAAGTAGATAGGGACAATAGTGTTAGGTAAATGTTATTCTAAAGATAAATTTATCATGTGCCTCATTTTATATAATCTCGTTCTTGTCGCTTAGGTTATCAGCATTATTTTTATTGTCAGTTTATTATGCGTCGTAGAAAATCTTCAAAGAGTGTGGAATCATAGTTGTATTCCACTGCCAGATCTCAAAAGAGATTCAAGCTCTCTCATATTCTGACGTCTACTCATAGATGCAGGAACGCCCTAACACCAACTATATTTCTGACTTTCTTCAATAAAGCTTTTCGATGCCTCCTTATGTCCATTTCAAATGATTTATATGTATTTGGAATCAGTCATTTCTAGCCTTGTTTTGTTGACAGGTTGTTTTGTTTGCTGTATGGAAACGGGTTTAAGAATTTATAATGTCGATCCTCTCGTGATGAAAGCAAAGTATGGTAAGGAATGTTAAATCAAACCCTTTTTCCTAACTACAAGATCTGATGGTCCAGTTCACTGCCTGCCATCGTTGAACTCATACAGGACATTATTATTTCTGTCTTGAGAACAAGGAAAGCATGAGAAGCAGATGAGGATGGTCAAGGAATTAATTTGCATCATGGCAGTTGAACTGCAAAACTGCACATACCTGTGGCAGTGTTTCAAATCTCTGCTGCTCCTTCATTTTGTAAAAGGAGACCATACCAATATTATGGTTTGAAACTTCCACTGAATATTTTTCACATTGAGGAAAAAAATCAGCAAGGTTTCAAGGAATGATGTTCAGTAGTTTCCGATGTAGAAAATAAAGTATGACAGGAAGTCTGCAACCCTTCAAACTAAGTTACGCATTTCTGCAGTTTGACCATCAATGAGTAATTTAAAAACTTGCAACTTTGTACTTTGTTTGAAAAAATATTGTTCAGATTATATGGATATCACCATTGCAACTGTCCCAAAAATCATCTGAAATGAATCAAAAGAATACGGAATAAACCATTACATTACATGTCTTTCTAAAATGTTATGGTCAGACCATGTTATGTTAAGCTCCATGTGTAAAATGTGAGAAGCAGCTCCTATCCAAGATACTCTAAATCATTTAATTGAAGATGGATGATCTTATTTAGCTGCAATGATTTTACTTGCATACATTGTCGTTGAAAGAGATTGTTTCGAAATTAGGTTGGGATATATGATTCTCCATCATTACTTGTGTGAAATTTTCGAGACCCCAAGAGGCATCATATAAAGTTCTTAATGTTTTAATACTCAGCATTACATTGCATTGTAATGACACTTTATATCATTGTCTTCATATTTTGTTGCCAGCACACATTATTTTCCAAACTCCCAAAAGCACTAAAATGCTCACAGCTTGTAACATATTAGTATACTTACTTTATTTTTCTCACTTAAAATCATCGGTGGTCCAAAAAAATCATAAAGCCAAGAAAATGACACTCATCTCAGTGAATCAAACTTGTTTCTCTCCATTTGGTTTCATGGAGAATGAACATTTTGATTTTGAAAAGCCACTTCAAAAAAAATTGTTCTTCAGTACAATTTTATTCTTGAAGTGCACTATCTAATTTTCCAGTTATATTTGTGTCCTTTATCCAGATGTCAACACTGTCGGCAGTTTAGCAATTTGTGAAATGCTTCACCGGACCAATCTCTTTGCTGTTGTCGCTGGCGGGAACCAACCAAAATTTACAGACAACTGTGTTTTTATCTATGATGACATTGCCAAAAGTTTTGTTCTTGAAATTGTGGTAGAAACATCAGTTAAGGCAGTTCGATTACGCCGGGATAAGTGAGTACATCTTAGTTTGGTATGAGTAATAACAAATTCTGTAAATTATTATAACTCATCAGAGAAAGATTCAATTCCACTAAAATACATTCTCTGATTTCAATTTTTTTTTGTTTTTACGTAACGTTTTTCATAACTTGTCTGCAGCAGTTTACTTTTTGCTCTCTATCCAAAAAAAAAAAAAAAAAAAAAAAAAAAAAAAAAAAAAAAAAAAAAAAAGCAAACTGAAATGATTCAGAAAGAATTTTACGATTCTAGCATAAAGCTCTAATATTATCTAAATTCGACCCGTTTAGAAGAAAAGAACCAAGCCACATCAGCAATTGCCAAATTCAACTGGGCAATTTAATTTTTTACAAAAGAACGTTTGTGCAGAACCCTTTGAAATTTATAGGAATTTGCTTCATACTATGCAGAAAATTCACTGAAATTTGCACAAAAATCTGCACAACTGAAAAAAATTAAAAAGCCCAATAAAATTTGGCAATAGCTTATGTGGCTTGGTTCCTTTCCGCTTAACGATGTCCAATTCTTCTTGTCTTAATGTTTCTTTTTTCTTGTTTGTTCTGTTTCTAGGCTAGTGATAGTCACCTTATCTCAAATAAATGTGTTTTCCTTTCCAAATCCAATAGAAAAATTATTCACCTTAGAAACTAGGAAAAATAAACTTGGTCTCTGTGAAATCAGCCCTCTAGTCTCATCTGAGAAACAAATTCTTACTTTTCCGGGACACAAAGTCGGCAGCATTCAATTAGTTGTAAGTATGCACCAATAATTTTTTTCATTATATCAGAAGAGTGAGGAGTTGTCACGTAATTTTACATTGCTATGAAAGGTGATCCAAGTGTCCCGACCATTAGCACCGAGCATCACCCTTGTAACTTTTAATTGAGCAAATTGGGATAGAGATTTGAAATTTTGTAAGTATTCCTAGGTCAAAAGAAACAATTTCGGGAGCCTGCAAGGGACCGCTCTAAAATGAGCAAGAACCTTAGATGTTGCAGGGGTGGCGTAGAACGTATGGACCACCCCATAGGTCAAGAATTTTGAATCAAACTTGTATCCCAAAATGAAACTAGCTTTCGTATAAGTGTACATAGAATGCCATATCGATAAAGAAACTGCAGAAATAAGTATTTCACCTGTGGTGTTTCAGAATCTCTGCTTCTATTTAAAAGAGACCAAAACAACATCATGGTTTGAAATTCACTCAGAAAGATTCTCTTTTAAGATTAAAAAATCACCATAGTCTTCAAGAAATGACGTCTAGTAGTTTACCATGTTGAAAATAAAGTATGACAGGAAGTCTGCAATGCTGCAAACTGAGATACGCATTTTAGTAGTTTCATCATTAGCACGTTATTGTTTAGTATTATGGAGCAGCTCACATAACACTCCATGAAGCTAAAATTAAGTAAAAATTATTAGAGAATATCAGAGTGCCTTTTTGCTCCCCCGACTCTGCCTCGCTCTTGGAGTGTGAGATGGATTCCGAGCCGAAGAGTATTTGAACCTCAGGCTCATGCTTGAAGTGAGGGAGGGGTAACAGTGGTTTCTCCACTGTACAGTATTTTAAACCCCATTTTTCATCTGTGAGAGACGAAGGAAAAGCTTATTTATGCATGGATAGAAATGATATGTATCTGAAATACATATTAAGGTACATGATATTTTTCTATTACATTGTTTCATAATATCTTCGTATCTCAAACTGTCATTTTATCTTGAAAGACTCTAAGTATATGATACAAACTCCTGATTGTTTTTTTTATATTTATATTTTATCAAGAAAAACGTAAAAATATCGTGAATACTATAATGATAAAACAAACACAATAAAATGGGCAATCGAGGCTAAAATAATACAAAATGCTCGGGACCTCTCTGATTGTCTTTGATTTTTAATCATTCTTGTTTTGTTTGATCGAAGAAGGGGTTGCAACCACCCCAAAACGTCCCAGGCATTTTGTTGTTTTTCAGCCTTGGTTACCCGTTTTATTGCGCTCGGTTTTTCATTATATTATCAAGAAAATCTAGAGAAAATAAAACCATTTAACACCAGTATTAGCTAAAATTCCTGTTTTTGTATCCCTAAATTCAAGTATTTCTATATCTAAAATACCGTTTCCTGCCAACTTTCAACTAAATTTGCTATTTTTCTCCAATAGGACCTATCAAACACTGTAGCAAATGCATCAACGGCTCCTGTCACGATAAACGCTCACCAAGGAGACCTTGCTTGCATGGCCATCAATTCTCAAGGAACTCTAGTCGCAACTGCCAGCATGAAAGGCACATTGATTCGTGTCTGGGACACTATCCGTAGATCTTTGTTTGTAGAGCTACGAAGAGGATCAGATCCAGCCACACTTTATTGGTAATCAATTAATGCTCATATACTTCAAGGTTTCAACACATGGGCATGAAAAAGCACTTTGACGTTATATGTGAAAGGAGAACATAAAAAAAAAGACGCGCCCAAATTACACACCATTTTTAAAACGAAATTGGCTTACTCTATCTTCAACCTACAATGTAAATTTGCAAATTTGTAACTTATTTCTTCGTTTGAATGAATGTAACTGTCCATGGAAAATGAAACCCTAGTGGCTGAGAGCCAATATTTCTGAAGTATAATCTTTGCGAGTGACTTTGGCAAAATGAGTAGAAAAATTTGACGTTGGAACTTTCCGAAACCAATCCATAAGTGATACATAAACTTTCGTAGTTTGCATTCTAACCAGTGAATTCTGCGCACCAGCTCACAAAAAAGACGCCTTTTACATTGGCCAAATTAAGCATCAAAATCATCCTATTGGTTCCGTCAGGAAAATAATGAGAGCTTGTTTCACATATGTTTCTTTCTCTCTTTAGTGCAAGATTTTTTTAGTTTGGGCCATAATAGTCAGTAGCCATGAAAATTCTTTCCATGTAAAATGTACCAAAATTACTTCATAGTAAGTATTATTTAAAAATTAAAACATCTTATTATTGTAAAAAAGAATCAATTAATGAACAAGAGATAAAATGTTTTGTTTCAGCATAAATTTTAGCGCTGATTCCAAGTACCTGTGCTGTTCAAGCGACAAAGGAACTGTGCATGTTTTTGCATTGAAAGATACACATTTAAACAAGCGATCTGCGTGAGTATCTTTTCTTCAAAGTATTAGTTAAGGATTAATGCAACTTATATGTACTCAGTTCGAATCAGATGGTTTTTCAAAGCTGAATTTCTTCACAGAAAGTCTCAGCCCAGCAGAGAATTTCATCCATCCTATAGTTTAGTTAAATATTTCCTTACTTTGAAAGCAAGGTCCAATTGAAGAATCAAACAAGTGCTCACAAAATTGCAGAAAAAGTCGCTCAGGAAGTAAGCTTTTCTATTTTTCTTTTAATGAAAGACAAAATTAACAACTATATTGTCAGATAGTTGAAATTAAAGACATTCATAAATCATTTTATAACACCACATCAGGAGCATACGATTTTCCTAAAATTTGAAAATTTCAATTCAACTGTGGGCTTTGAGAGGTGGAAGCAAGCTGGTCTTCATACTGTCGTGCTAGAAAGTACACTGTATGAACATCCAAGAGTTGCCAAATTTCCTCTGATGTGTTTCTTTTAAAAGAGGATTATGCATATTTTTTCTTGAAATTTTCAGACACCGTGGATTCAATTTCAAATGAAATTCTGTGAGAAGTTCGGAAAAAACTATACACCAGTTTCCAACAAATTTGCATTGTATCAAAGAAAATTTGGTATCGCCTGAAGGCGCTTACAGCGTTTTCCGTAGCACAGCAGATAACAGCTCAAATGGACCACGTTAAACAGAAAAGAACCAAACCACACCAGCTGTGCCAAATTTAATTGGACGAATTAATTTTTTACATGAAAACGGTTGGGCGGATTTTCGTGCAAATTTCAGTGAATTTTCTCCATGGTACGACTCAAATTCTTTAAAATTTTCAAAGGAATCCGCACAAACGTTCTCTCGTAAAAAATTGACTTGCCCGATTAAATTTGGCAATAGCTGATGTGGCTTGGTTCCTTTCTGTTAAACACGGTCCAAATGTAGCTCAGGAAATTCTTTTCATTGCTCCTTTGAACTGGAATATACAATTGAGTTTTTATTTCATTTGCAGGCTGTCTAAAATAGGATTACGAGGAAATTATGTGGAGTCACAGTGGGCCTTAGCGAATTTCACAGTTCCACCGGAATGTGCATGCATATGTGGTTTTTCATCCAGGAATTCCGTAACTGGTAATTATAAATCTGAATTAATTAAATTCAACCTGAAAATGATCATATTGTTTACTTCCTAGTATTTTCAAGAGAAGCCCCAATTGGCTTTTTCTGCTGCCTGAAAATTGGTCAAACTCTGCTGCCCTCCAAAGGATCTTGAATAAGTAGATCCTCTATGAATAGAACGTTAAGGAGGTTTCTGCCAAGAAAAACATTGTATATCTTTTTCATGCTGCTCTTTTTAGTTTTAGAGCTTGGTCTCTTGATTTTTTGTGTCCAACTTTTTGCCCTTTACTATTTTGATGGCCGAAGTGCCAAACTACGCACACACGGAACATGGAGATATATCTCCATTTGCGAAACTGCGGACTTTCTATTATTATATTCCATGTATAAAATATATTCTATATTTTATTTTCTCAAAGGAAAAAGAGCCAACTTTGTAGCTTGAAATTTATGAAGAATAATCTGCTAACAGAGAAGAACAAATTAAGGAAGTTTTCAAGGCATTAGGTTGACTAGCTTCCTGGGGGAAAAATAAAATAGGACCAGAAATTTTGAAACAGCGCAGTGGAGGTACGCAATTTTGCCTTTTGGCCAATGATTTCTTTTTACTCTTTATTCTTATCCTCTCTAACTCATTCTATTTCAATTTCAGCTGTTTGCGTGGATGGTACTTTTCACAAATATGTTTTTACGAATGACGGAAGCTGCAATAGGGAAGAGTATGATATTTTTGTGGGTCCTGACGTCGATGATGATGAAAGTGATGACTTTTAAAAGGTTATTGTAACATTAGGTGTTACTATTTTCTTCTTACCTGCTTCCAAAAAAACTTATTCTGTTACTTGAGTTATCTTTCTCATATTTTTCGTATGTGTTGATAGAATTAAATATTTTAAAAAACAGTGCTGCTGAAGGGCTCAAGAGGGAATCTCAAATTTTGCCTCCCACAATTTACAAGCGTATCTGAATATGCAGTTGTGAGAGGTAGAGTATAAAAATAATTTAAATTTTTAAGCTAATATATGCAGCCCCAAATACAGTTGTTGGACGCACAAAAAAGACATTTATTGAGATCTCTATGGATCTGCTCTTTAGGAGCTGGGCATGAAGTAAATGATAATTTTTAATGACTTCATATCATTGACAGTTCTAGCAAGTTGACAATATTAGGTCTTTTACAATGTCTATTTACTTAAATGCAGGTATAAAAGTCAACATTAGTCAAGAAAGTTTTTCTCTTTCAAAAACGATTATTTATAATGGATTTAAAGGAGGGAAAAACAGTGTCACAAACTTGCGAGAATTGCCAATGTACTGTATCTATTTTCTACTGTTAAACTGCATTGTCTAGAGGAAAAAAATCCGCTAGGTTTATCTAGAATAAAGATTATTTAATTGTTTTTATCTTTATATTTTATTATTATTGTGATCGACATTGTGATATGATTGTAAATAAATGCCTATACTTACTTGTTTATAATTCTGAGTTCACGACTTGTTTACATTTTTTGAAAGTACTTAGGGTAATCTCAGCCTCTAATCAAAATGATGGCAGGTGATGTTTTAAGAATATCAGAAAAATTACAACGGAAACAAGTAGGAATGTATTTTTGATGTTTTGATTTAAAGGTTATAGTCAAGTTAAAACGGGGAAAAATGAGGAGAAGAAAAAAGAAAATTGAAGAAATAGGCAGTTAATTCCAGTAGCTCAACTCTAGCCCACTTTTCAATGATTCTTTAACATGAGCGATGTGATACTTTTAATTGTCTACAAAAATGATTCACAATTTGATGAGGCAAATATGGTAATTTGGACAGAGAAAGTTGTCTGCCACAACATGTGTACATTCACTTCAACTATCCCACTGAACAGAACTAGCCGTGATTTTCCGAGCTTTCAAACTCAAAGTAGCTGTTCAAAAAATTAAATTTGTTGGGATGAAAGTCAAAAGGTTCAGTTCTACTTTCAACGTTTTGTCAAAAACGAAAAAAATGGATTACTGTAAAAAAACACCAACTACTTTATTCGTTGAAATAGTACAACTTTTTCTTTGGATAATGCCAAGTCTTCATCAGAGTCTTTACGTTTCCAACTGGGTACCAAGTTCTTCCAACTTCGTTTATCTTTTGCAACGGACAATTTATCTAGAAGGGTGGAAGATAATATGGGTATGACTGGTGAAAGAGCAATGGCGCAAATCCTCAGTGATTCCATGGTTGCATGTAGAACACATCGTAACTTTTCGCTTTTTGCAGGATCCTTTTTCAAATTCCACGGCTCACAGTGTTCAAAAAATCTGTTGATCACGTGGACTGTCAGGATGGTGTACTCAATTCCTTTATAGAAATTAAATGCCTCGTAGTGATGCCTCACTTCATCTGAAAAAAATCGACAAGAAAGAAGCTGATGTAAGTCAAAATAAAAAATTGAGCAGTATCACAAATACAGAAAGTAAACAAATTTTTGAAGAGAAGTAAGATATAAGTTGTGGCAAGTAGAACTTGTACCAGAGCATACAATGGACCACTAGACAAGGTACGAATTTCAGCATTCTGATACATGATTCGTAACTAAAATTTCACGTAGAATACGACGCGCACAACGAAAATTACCGAATTCAACTCCTTCCAAAGATATTTAACGATTCTTGATACGTGAATTCAAACCACTCGCTCATGAAAACTCAATTCTCTACGTGATTCACATCGCGCGCTGAATGTTATTATGACAGTCTCTGCTATATAAAAATCTGGCAACCTCAATCTTGACGCTTTGGCTCAGCTATAGCAAATTGCTTACCTATAGTTTGAACAACACATGGTGGGAAATGAACATTGCTCGATTGAGAAGCTTTCTGAAACCGTTGTAGTGAGCGATTTGACTCACGTAGAGCTTTGAGTTTCTTGAGAGCGGGCAGTTCAAATTCCTCGTAACCAATGTGAAATAAAAACGATAATATCTTCGTTAGGAGTTAGTTTCAGTAATTTTCGTTGCGCGAATCGTGTTTTACGTGAAATTCTGGTTAAGAAACATGTATCAGATTGCTTAAATTCGTACCTTGTCTAGTGGTCCATTTCAAAATTAACAAATTTTATACCGTTAAACTTATTGTAATGCCAACAAAGTATTCAATTTAACAGTTCACTTACACCATAAGCTTCTATGTAGCGTTTCAATGGTAAATGTATTTTCATTTTTTCATGACGACAGTGGAACTGCAGAAACGGGCATCTAGTTTGCAATGTTTCAAAGTCTTTGCTCCTATCATGTTATATCACAGGGGAACAAACTAACGCTATTGCTTAAAATTTGCGCAGAGTATTCTTCAGAGAAGAAATGTCAAAAAAGTTTTCAAGAATTGATGTAGGGTATTTAACCATTTAAAAATTAAAATATAACAGGAAGTCAGAAACGTTGCAAAGAGAGATTGCAGTTTCAACATCGCTGTGCCACTTAGCTCTGGTCATCAATAACATCCTTCAACTATGCTTTGATAGATTCTTGAAACTGATTTTGGTTTTCACAATAAATAATTTATGGAAGCATTTCATCATGAATCTTAAGTTTCTCCATTTCCCAAAACGTAGGTAAGAATCTTCATTGTCTTACAAGCACTGTACTTATTCAGGAAACACTAGTGCATGGATTTAAATCAACAAGTATCATTGGTTAACTTTTTCCCTCAAAAAATAAGAAAAGTAAATTGCAGTAATAGTAATTATCAACTGTACAGTTGAAAAGACGCCTCAACATTTAACATAAATTACAATTTATGAAGTAAAATCTTACCTTGAAGATTTTCAATTCTGTTCGCTAAATCTGCCAAGTCACTATTGTCCTGCCGTAGTTTGTCAAACTCTGAGGCCGAAAAAGCTGGGAAAGCTTGCATGACATTGATCGCTGAACCTGTGCACCGATTTAATAGGTTCCCTAACGAATCCGCTAATTCAGAGTTTAACATTCTGAGAATTTTGGTTTCGCTGTAATCTGAGGGGAAATGAAGGAGAGTATTTTAAAATCAAATTTGCAAAATGAACTAACATGAAGCCACACTCCAAAAACACTTTGTATAAATCAGTTTATATTTGATTCATTGATTATTCCTTAATTAATAAATGCTTCATCCTACGGCCCGGCCTTTTCTTCCATTACATTACACGCGATATAACTATTATACTTACTTCATGCTTCGAGGATAACTCATTGCCGATCTTAAGATTGAATCTGATGTTTTCTGAAGTTCATCTAATGATATTGATCCATCATAAAGACAAGATTGTAAATAATTTCAAATCCGATCATTTTGAATACAAAAAATGAAAAAGTAAGGGCAATCAAACATTATTTGGTGCTGGCAAAGGATTTAACAAGAAAATTAATGGTAAATAATAGTGAAAGAAAAAACATCCTCCTACTTAATGATGGAGTACAGCTCCGGGAATTTCTATTGGCCCTGTCATCAAAGAGAGCCATCAAAGTATATTCGGGGTACATTTTTCCATAGAATACATTTTGGAATTTTCTAATCAATTTAAAGGACCCAAAAATGACATTTTGAAACACTATTCCTAATAAGTTCTGAACAAGATCTTAAATTGTTTTTGAGAGTTTTTTTCCAGATATCCTCTTTCCTTCCTTTTCTTTTAATCTTCTACAAAAATTTTAAACGAGAGTCCAACGTGGTTTGAAAGAAAGTTGAACATTGTATTTTACAATTTATCATTTATTAATTTTTCAGCAATTTCGGTTTTGTTCAATTTTCTATTAAATCTCATTAATTTGGAGCACTAATATTGTGGACACTTTGGATTCATTTTTCTCCATAAAAATAAATGAACACCATCAATGAATATAAATATTATAAAGAAGAAGTAGCATATTGATCAAGAGATTTTTAAACTCCAGATTTGCTAGGCTCATGATAGCATTTCACTTATTTTAACACTCTGGAGGACAAAGCAGATTTACATTGAAAAAATAAAATACGAGACCTTAACACTCCATGAAATTTTAGATGGAAAATTATACTATTCTTACTTGCATCGCTATGAGGTGTTCCTTCACGCAACAAGAAATATCGATAACCAGAAACTGAGAATGATTCAATTTTCTCAAAAGGATTGATGACATTTCCTACAGATTTGGACATTTTCTCTCCATCGACAGTCCAATGAGCATGAACTTGAAGTTTCCTGGGAGGCTCAAGGCCAGCAGCAATGAGAAATGCAGGCCAATAAAGACCATGAAATCTGTAATCAGGTTGCCGCATTACTTCAAGGAAAATATGACAAATGAAACATAAAGCTTATTTTCATTGGTTAACAGATATAAAGTTCAAGAACAGATGACGTAATAAGTCAAAAAGCACAAATTTTAATTCATTAATAGTCATTATAGGTGCAGCCTGACCCTTCCTACTTAGCTCCCAACTTAAATTGTATTTCTAATTAAGGAGGACAATTTAGGATCAAAGAATTTCAAAATTATACAAAAACAATCAGTGGCAAGGCAAAAACTGCTACAAATAATAATGGATAACCTGAAAATATGAGGGTTCCAACAAACAGATATGCTCTGTGAATTTTTTTTACTTGCCAAACTGATTATCGAGTAACCCTTTTTGTTTTTAAGGACATTCACTTTAGATTGGTAAGGATAAAAAAACTAAATATCAACGGCAAAACAGCAGGGATGCATATCTTGTTTTCAGTGTTTTAAAATCTCTGATCCAATTTTTTTTATCAAAAGAGATAAGGCTTGAAATTTTAATTGAATATTCTTCACACAGAGGAGAAAACTCAGGGAAAATGTCAAGAGATGACTCAGAGTATTTTCCCATAAAAAAATAGAGTATGCCAAGAAGTTTGTGAAGTCGCTAACCCAGATGTGCATTTCTGCAGTTTCACCATCAATATACTTCCTCACACTTGACTAAGTTAAAGCTAGAGCCAGATTTAGAGCAAAGGCATCTGCACTTGGCGGCGAATTTTAGAGAGCAGCAAATCGTCAACTTTTTTTTTTAATAATTGATTGGAATTATGAGTATGGTAACTTCACCGAGAAGACCACAACGTAGCTTTTACACTTTTACGTGTAATGTATGTCATAGGTTACCCTTGTGAAGCAATATGCACCTATTGAATCATTCGCTTGTTTTTTTTGGTGAGGGGGGATCTTTAGCCGAAGACCGGGGGGGAGGGAGGGGCGGCGCAAAAGGAAATTTTCTGCCCTTCGCGCAAAAACCTGAATCCGGCTCCTGTTATAGCTATTTGAAAGTAACTACACTGTAACATTTCAAATTTCTACAATTTTCTGGGCAATAAAATTTGAATGGAACGAAACAAACGTTACATATCTACATGAAAATTGAATTTGACGGGTGGAATTACAATACTTCTTAACTATTTATCATGTAACTTAAAAATTTTCTGGAAAAAAATTCTGTGTATCTGCTAAATGCCACCATCTTAACTCCTCAAAGCTCAGTTTTTGATTTGCAGGAGGGCTTGATGTGTGGCAATATCCAATAAGACCAAAATAAAGCCTTTATCCTTAAAATAGATAAAGTCTTTAAATGAAGGCTTGATGCAGATATGCCCCATTTGCTTTGTTCCATACTTTTATGGAAAAACTGAAACGAGCGACTTACTTCAATATATCTTTACCTAGGACATGTACATCAGGAGGCCACTTGCTTAAATTTTTTGGATACCCAGCAACAGTTAAATAATTTACAAGGGCATCCAGCCACACATAAATTGTTTGTTCCGGATGACCAGGGACTTGAATGCCCCAGTGAACGCGACTTGATGGTCTTGACACCGATAAATCCGTGAAACCTTCATTCTGCAACTCCGTGATCCAATGTAACAGCAAGTCATAGAAAGGTTTAGGTTCCACCGGCTGCTCTACAAAATAAAGGAGGTCAAAACTTTCAGCGAGATATTTTTTTCAGATCATCATTACAGTTTTTTTTTACAATTCCTCATGTCATTTTTGCACAGTACAGGAATGCAAAGACAAATGGCTTTACCAAAAGAAGGCGTAACAAACCATCATTATACCTATATACCTGATGCATTTAACTGAAACTATTTGTTGTAACAGGAGCAAGTCTCAAGAGTTTTTCACACAGTTTTTTCTGGATTTAAATCAATTTAAAAGAGGTAACCTCAATGAATATCGATTGTTTTATTTATTCAGATGGGGAAACCCTGGCATTGTCAACTTAGGAGCATTGCCACTGTGTTTTCATAGAAAAATATGAACCCACATTGATTGGTTAATTTGGCCAAAAAAGTTATTTTAGACGAATTCCACGATGTACTTTCCAAAAAAAGGAGGTTTCAAAGAGGGAAAATCTTAGTTAAAATTAATTAATGTGTGGTTTTTAATGAAAAGTTACCTGTTTTTAACCAGTGAAGTACATCTGGGATGAATTTTCCCAGGTTAAACTTGAAATTACTTTCTTCAGTCCATTCTACAGCACGACCAGATTCAGCACTGACTTTCATTTCAGTATTATCAGCATTTTTCACAGTTTTTAATTGCAAGTCTGTAAGAAAAGCTTCATCTGCTGAACAGTACCAGCCCGAATAGGATCCAGGAGTGATATGCCCGCGTTTTTCTAGCTCAATCTAAAATTCAAGGATCAAGGATTAATGATAATTAAAAAATAATTAAAACTTTTGGCAAACACTAAAATAAATCTGCCATTAATAATACTAAAATGTTTGTTAGTAACGAGCCTCACAAAGGCTGGGGTGCAAAATCTTTCAAGGTTCCACATTTTCAACCGCCAGCACGCCCGCATGCCTATTTTTCACAAACTGTTCCACCAATTTCAAAAAGAATGACCTTTTCCTTCTTTTGATCTTTGACTACCAACTTTTAACCCTTAACAATTTTCTTCTCTTTCACATTTTCAAAAACCCAAAAGTTTTTACGAAGGTATGGTGAAAAGTATTGAAGATGTGATGCTTGGTAGCAGAAGAAACCGACACAGATATAGGAATTTGTGGAGGTGTTCAGGTTTGTATTAAATGATAGAGAGAGAGGTGTCATAAGAGTCAGAACAACTAATCTGGTAAGGTCATTTTAGCAAGATGACGGAGGAAATGCTGCCAAAAAATATACTTTATTGGGAGGAGATAGACACCCAGTAAAAGGGTGGCGGTTGTACTGGCGGTGACTGGCTCTAAGATTAGGAGGTCTTGGGTCCACTTCCTGTGCATGCGACTCGAATTTGACAGTCTCAAACAACGATTGGCAAGGGCTGATTGTCAAGTGAGGATTGATGGACTCGAATGTGGCATTTCCTCCTTGGGGGTGTTTGAAGAAGAAGGAAAAAAGTTAGACGTTGTAAAGCACCAGAGAGTGCTGTGAAAGCAGATACTATTTATGTATGTGTTGAAATCTTGCTTTTAGGAAAAAGAATGGGAAGAATTTAAGGGAGTACAGACTCTATACTCAAAGATACAGAAAGTGAGAAGTACTCCGTACAAATTTGTGTTTTTGGAGAAAAATAGAGGGGAGGTGATATTTTTTGTGAAATTCGTAGAGGGAATTTCATGCAAATTAAGTGAAAAAATGTTATCTAGAGTTGATTAGAAATTAGTTCTGTGGTGTAAATTTCGAATGGAATGAGAGAACTTACCCAGAAATGTTGCACTGCTTCTTTGTGTGCAGCATCTGAAGTTCTGATAAAGTGAGAGTACTTGATTCCACAAGAATCAAAAAGGGATTGATATCTCTTTGATATTTCTGAGCAATATTTACCGGGGGAGGTATTTGAAGATTCCGCAGCTTTCTGAATTTTGCTTCCATGCTCATCAGTCCCTGTGCTGAATAATGGTGATGCGTCCTCTTTAAGGAGCAATTGAAATCGAACTGCCGCATCTGCAATTAATGCGGTGTAGAGATGTCCCATGTGCGGCTCTGCAAGATAAAACAATTTCTGTACATGGTACACTCTAAATTTATAATGACTCCTCTCCTGTAATAAAAGGCAAAAAGTCGAGTTTGGAAGCAGGTGCTGAAAACCTTGGCTAGGATGAAGCTGCATGCACAAGGATGATATTGGTCTACTTTGAACGATTTCTCCAGTTCCCAAAAATTATTCAACTTGAATATTAATTCTGATTGATTACTCATTTTAAATTTTTAATGCTTTTGTACTTACAAAAAAGATTGTTGAAAATGTAAGAGCCTTACCAGCATTTACATAGAAAATAGGAGTTGTAATAAAATACGATGAGAAGTGTTGCCGTCTGAAGAGGGTCCGAGGCGGTTTCCACTTAAAAAGATGTAACAACATGATTTTAAAATCCACTTGTCGAATGAATCAATACGAAGTTTGAATGTGCAAAATACAAATAAAATATACAATAATAAATATTTCTAGACATGAATATCTTCGGTTAAAGAAATATCTTGAATTAGTCGATGACATGTGTTATCTATGGATAACCTAACCTCACTTGAGATGTAAACAAACAGTGATAACATACCAATGCCAAAAAAATAAACTTCTCTGCGCGCAATTTTTCAAAATACATGAGAGATTTTCGAAGAAAGATTTTCATGAATATATTTCACATATAATTTATTAAAAATTTAAAATTGAAAAAAGAAAAATTTACACCACCATTAGGGAGGAAGCAAATTCCATTACTCACAGTGAAGTTCATTTTTTAGGTTGTTGACCTGTGAATCTTTTGAATCGGCAAGTTTAGTTTCAACATGGACGAAGATATTACATTAGNCCGATTTTTTTACTTAAATCAACTCTTTATATAATTTCAAGCACTTTTTATAGAATGACTTTTTCCCTTAAATTAGACCATTTCCAAGAAAATCGACAGGATAAAAACGTCGCTGTACCCAATGACGTCATCAAAGCTATAGATACTCTATGAAAAATTCCAAGATGCCCGAAATGCAAACACCTCCTTTTTTTTCTCTATGGTACGGGTGTACGTCCGTGTTACGAATTAGAACGTTAGTATAATTTGTGAACTGAAATATTAATATTATATTTATTTTCATTAACTACACAAGTGTATTGAGTTTTATTTACGGTAAGCGAAACTTAGTATCTTCTATTTGTTCTTATTGTTGACTTTCCTCGCCTGCACATACAATGATGACTGCTCTCATTTTTGTGAGGCAAAACAACCAGATATTTCATCATTTTTCGACCTCAGTACAAAGCGTTTCATCGCCCGTTGTTTTGCCACCATCCTGTATGATTCATTTGTATTTTCTCTCCTTTTAAGACACCTGACCTCACAACATTAATTGTGACACAGAATGAAGTTGCGTTTTCATTCTCGCACTTTTTGTAGAGTCTCACTTTTTAGCTCAGAGGTATCTTTTGAGCGGTTGCCTCTTTCGTCCACAGCAGATAATTGTAGGCCTTGATCCTCTACAATCGTATTTTCTAATTATATTGATGGACAGAGCTGAATTGTAAGGAAGAGATGTGGATCAACAGAGCAAGTAGTTGTGACTTTCAGTGGACGACTGCAAATCACATTTGTCCCCTTCCTCTGAAGCTCTAAAACTGAGTCAAAACCAGCATATCTGCTTTAGTCGATGCATTGAATATCCTGCATACCCTCGATTTGTTGAGAATATACAGGAAGTGGTGGGAAGCGGTGAAACGTACATTTCTAAGTCACAGCAAGCAACTGCAGATTTACCGAGTGAAGCAGTGTCTTTCCCTTGCTGAAACCGCATTTTGAATGGCTGATAGACTGATTGTTATATGTATATCTTGTCTGAATCCAAGGTGGCAGCCCTGCCACCACCCTCCGAAATTTCTTCATGTCTTAGACAGTATGAGATTTTCTCTAGGTCGTATCTTCTTAATTTTTACACAAACTTGTAATTGGAAACCTTCCTTGCCTAATTTTACTTGTTTTGTTTCAGTGTCATGGATTCGCTAGACCCGTTGTCCCAAGATGTGTTGTCTGCCTTTGACACAGGGGGATTATCATTCTCCCAACTTTTCCCGTAAGTCTTACTAGCTCTCAATAAATCGTTTTTCATAATTCAGCTACTATATCACATACGTTATCATCTAAATAAAGCTGTTACACACCAAATATACAGCCAACTGAGTATTATTTTACAGGAGAAATTGCCATCAAATAAATATCAAGAGTTGGAGATTTCACGTGCGTGCGTTAAAATTCAGTATTTAACTAACCTTTTTGAACTATAAAAACTCAAATTTTCTCCCACCTGGCGTGCACTGATAAAATATATTTGATTTCACCAGAAAAAAACATTAACAAAGCAGTACAATAAGAACCTCGTATAAAACAAACAAAAAACTCCAAAGTAAGTCTCCAAGTTGTAGTAACATCCGAAGTGAATATCCTTTGCAAGTTGCGACTCGAAGCTCGCTGATGATGGAGAGGAATCTGTTGAAACATATATCTGTTTCAAATATGATAAAAGAATCAATAAGTTTTGAAAATTTCGCTTTTTAATATTTAATTAAGTATAATGGTAACTGGCACTTTGTCAATACAGCAATGACCTCTGTAGTGTGACAAGCATTTACTTGAATGTTCCAGAGCTGTTCAAGACTATCTTTCAGTTATTCACCAAACTTTAAAGACTGACATTTGTTGAAGCAGTCTTTGGTCACCCATTTGAGGTTAAGCTAACGTTTCATAATTTTTTTAAAATTATTTCCCTCTTTTTTCAGTAACGAAGGAAGTCAAAGGTTGATGAGCGATTCTGATGTCGCAGATGATCACTCTGTTTTAATTAGAAGTTTGGAACGTAACGGCCGTGTAAGTTTTGTCTACTTTGTTTAATCTCTTTCAAAATTTCATTTGGACTTCCTGTGTCAGGGAACTAAATTTTTTAGATTTACTTACTCAGAAAAATAAGTATTGAATTGAGATTTGATGTTAATTCTAGCAAGCATTTAGAGACAATTCGTCAACCGTACATGAAGAGCTAATCTCATGCAAGCAGAATGGTATTTCTCATGCTTTAGAAGTGACAACAAAGTGTGTCACCACAACACTTATTCAACAAACTGTCTTCAAAAATGATTTAAGAAGAGATTTTTATATGCCTTCCATTCAAACCTCTTTTAATGTGGAGATGTTATCAAATTCAAGGTGCAGAACGGTTTCGTTTTCCCCAAAATATTCAAAGTGGTCTCTCTCTCTAGTTTTCAGAATGTATAGAAGGAAGAATTCTGCCGAACACATCCTGGTACCTAGAGCTAGATTTTTAAAAGAGATAGTCATACGTAGAGGGCGGGAAAAAGCAAGAGAGAGATCTTTGAAATGTACCCATCATCAATCTTGTGCTGCTTTAAGTATCAAAATCCTCTGATGCATTTTCTGCCAGGAAACGTAAGGTTTATTCAAAAAGCCACAACCTCTTTTTTCCTCTTGTTTTCCATAATTTTTCCAAGCACCGTTGAGGAAAAAAATATTGCATCCATAATTGCACCCAATGATTTTGCAAGAAAATTCAGCAATTGCCATTTCATCCTTAAATGTGGTAATGTTGTGTGAGAGTTAGCAATTTTTTATTTGCTTGTGAGGACTTTCAAATCTTTTTCTCAAGTAATTATCTGAAGAGAAGTGTTCTTCTCAGGAGCACCTCTTGTTCCTGGCACAGCAAGTAATCAAGATATTATCGTTCCACTAACAAAGGAATGAACCTCTATACACGCACCTCTATTTTTACTTGCCTAGCAAGAAATCATCCATAGCAACTTCTGGATGTTTTCTTCGGGTTTTCCTTGTTTTGTTTTGAGAGTTGTTCAGCAGCAACGGTAGATGGCGCGAAGATCACACTTTTGTGTCATGCCTCGGGTCATATCCATGACGGCGTTTTAATGCCGTCTTGAATTTTGCGGCATGTTAAGTTGGGTTCACTGGCGAGTGTGATCTGCTGATGCGGTCGAAAAAGACCCAAACCAGTATAGATCTCTCGGCGTGACTCAAACTTAATATTCCAATGCAAACTGCCTGAGCTCTCCCCTCAGGTTTGTACTGGTACTCATTAGAGAAAAAAAAAATTATTTTTGACTCTGATTATGATTTTTGGAACTTCTTGGCTTTGTTTTCCGCGCGAAATGGTGTGGACCAAGCATTATTTCTCCACCTTGTTACATACAGTATTCGGGCCACTTCTTGGTGTTTTTTTTTTCACTTCTGGATGTAATGGTGATAGTAGTTTGAATCAATCTCTAGAGAACTGGGAGGTTTTTCTTGAAAATGAATCTCTGAACCTTGCGTTTTTTATTTAATATTCTGAAAGTATTTGGTGCGTGGATTACATGGTGATTTATTGCATATTTTTGAAGCCGAAAACCCGAACGAGCCCGCCTTAAAAAAGTCCCAAGACTCGAAGGAATTTCACTCGCGCCGGAGTGGCAGGAAAATAATGAAAGTTATTTACTATGCTGTCGTGCCAAGGAAAAACGCCGTATGAACCTTCAGGCGTTGCCAAATTTCCTTTGATAAAACGCTAATTTTCTGGAAAACTTATGAATATATTTGCTCCGCGCTTGCTTCTGATTGGTACCGAATGACATCATTCGGTTCGGCGCAAAACCGGGGTGTTTTGTTGCAGAAAAGTTGCGCTATTTGAACTACGTTTTTCTCGGTTTCTGAGTTACCATTTTGCGGTTTTAATGTGCGCATCGTGTTTTACGGGTCTTTTACCTGTGGAAAAATTTATTCGCAAGTCAAAATTTGTTCATGGTTTAGTGACCTATTACTTAGCCTTCTATGTCATAGTGTTACTCATTCGTAACAATGCATGTTTTGGTTTTTTAAGAATTAAATTTTTCCTGTGTGGCATGGTTTTGCAAACTTTCATCTGTGTTTTCTTTTTTGAAAAACTGGTTACTTAAAATTTGGAGTTCCCTAGAATCAAAGATTCAAAATTAATTAATGCCTTAGAGAGTTAAATTCCAAAGAGAAAATTTCCTGGAATTAAGGGGAAGTTTACTGATTGGACAGGGTGGCATTTTCATAAAAAGTCAGGGGAAACCTGAACGAATTCCTGAATTTCACTGCAAAATCTTAAAATATGTTCTGCAGGACAAATTTTGCACTGCAAATTTTGCTTTCTTGTGTAAAGCATTTTCATGAGAAAAACATAAAAAAGTCAGAGAATGTTATGTTCAAAACCCCTAAAAAGTTGTGGAAAAGTTAGAACACAAGTAAGTACGATTTTGTGCCATTACTTAACTCAAATCTCGCCTAAGGTTTTTTTTATGAGAGGAAATTTTAAATTTGGCTAAAAGTTACTTTTAATAATTTTTGTCGGGCAAATCTTTGTCTGCATTAAATTTTGAGAAACCATTTGCTGTAATCTTAAATTTGTACCATGTCCGCTGGTCCATTCATTTGGATTCCCCTTGTTAATAACACTTTGAAGCTTCAGTAGCCATCAATGCAGAGTTTAAGCAATAGGCAGGAGGTAAATAGTTTGTCATAAAGCAGATTGAACATCAGGTCAAAAGAAGTTTGAAGGGGAAAAAAACACCCAAGTATCTATGAGAGTAATCAAAGAGTTTGAGGGAATAGAATTTTTTAATGGACTGAACGCAGTTTTCTTTAATACCCTAAATAAAATAATTCCTTTCTTATCTTTCCAAATGAGAATCATCTGATTTACATCATGATGGCCCAAGTGCGAAAACCAAGTCCGTTTGCAATGTTACAGACTCCCTGCCATTCCTCATTTTTTCTATGGAAAACTAGTCAACATAATTTCTTGGAAACTCCCTTGATTTTTCTTCTGTGTGGGAAGAATATGCTGTGGAAATTTCAAGCTACTAAGTTGGCTTATTCCTCCTGGAAAAAATAAAATAGGAGCAGAAATTTAGAAACACCACAATGGAGATACGTGGTTTTGCACACATAAGGATGAATATGTAATCCCCTCCCTCCCCCGTCATATTTGCTTTATTCTGACAGGACTAATGAGTAATCCTCATCTTGATTCAGGATGTATATCAGCTCATCATTCTGTTATCAATTCATCAGACACCTCATTCATTCCTCCCCTTTTATTGTTCTCCCTGCCCCAATCAATGCTCATGCCCTCACAACATAATCCTGTCCAGACCTGTGTGTGCTGTGCAGGTCTAAACCTGTCTGCTTCCCTGCCCGACTGATTATGACCCAATCCCCCACATTCCATATCCATTTCCGTTACACTTCAGTCACCTGGAGTTGCCTCTCTGTTGCATAGTCTTGCTCCAACCTCCTCACTGGTTTTTGCAACTCTAAATTTTCGATGTTCCAACTCAAGGTACGTTCGTTATTTTTCCCCATCAATCTGTGAGAGCAAGCTCAGATCACTTCGTTTTCTGATTTATTTTATTTTTTATGTCCTGAGTAAAATTAACTTCATTAATTTTTTTCTTTCTTTTTTTCTTTTTTTCTTCTTTTCTTTTTCCTTCCAAAAAAATAGTGATCCCGTAGATTTCTGTGTAAACATACTGTAATATTTATTTCTACAGTCTCGTCTTTTTAATGTTTAAAATAATATATTATTGTTCGTTCAGTCTGGATAGCAGCTCTTTTAGAATCTTTTGTCTCATTATTTTTTCCAGATGGACTAAGATTTTTTATTTTTTATTTTTTTTTTTTTTTCAATTCGTTTTAGGTAGGTACCGGAAGTATTCCCCCCCCCCCCTCCATTTATTTTCCTTATCAAAACAATTTTCTCTTCTTTCCGATTTGTAGTGTTCAATGTTATATCCCAAGTAGGTAGTGCTCTTTTCTATGAATTATTCCCCTGCAACAAGATTTTACCTGCCTCCTTGTCTTTACAGAATTATTTCCCTGCCAGCATTTCATGCTTACTGCCCTGCCACCTGCCACAGCTGTGAGCTGGTTTTCAAAAAAAAAAAAAAAAAAAAAAAAAAAAACCCCTTGAATACTCCATAGGAAATTTTGACATTGCTTGAATGTATCTTTTTGCAGTTGATTTCAATCTTGTCAAGTTCTGCTGGAAAACAAAATTTTAGAGCAATGGGAAATAATTTAACTGCATTCTGCATCAAGGCATTACTATTTCTCCCTTTTTTAGAAACAACGTACGTGTCTTTTGTTTTCCTATGAAGGTAGGTGTTTTTATGGATGATCGAGAAATAGTAGTTTCCTGTTACAAAATATAGTTCAGTTTTAAATGTCAATTACAATGCTGATTTTATTTTCAGTGAAAGCTCTATTTCTCCCATACGATGCAAATCAGTAGGTGTCAGTCTTGCTACAAAAATTGTTATCGTGTTTTCCCCTATAGCATGACAGTCTAAATTTTAGGACTGAATTCTTTTAAAAGTTTAGCATTATGATTTTTTCTTTTATAGTGAGGCGCCATTCATAAAATACGTAACGCTTTGAAAAGGGAAGGGGTGTTAATGAGATCTTTACACATTTTCGTTTTTATCAGTCAAAGGATAGGGACATTCGGCATAAAAACGTCTTATGTGAGGGGGGGGGGGATGAAAAATCCCATAAGCGCCACGTATCTTATGAAAGGCCTGTAAGTTTCCAAGTTCCAAAAGTTGCAAAATAATTGGGAGCTTACTGAGGCAAAACTTTTTCCAATTTTATCAGATTCGAAGGGCTCAGTTGAAGTGACTGTGCCAGTGAGTAGGGTGTTTTTCTAATTTCTTGCCTAAGGCAGGCCATCAGATTAACTTTTGTTGCAGTTAAACGATGGAATTTCTTGAATCGTGATTTTTCCTCTGCTGTTTTACAGCCTGGAGATGTATACGTACAAGTATTGCCAAGGTTAGTCAATGATTGTAATACATCTTAACTAATCACATGCAAGGTATGATTTCATCTGAATGATGCAACGATTTTTAGATTGCATAAAATGTCACAATCTTTTTTTCTTTCATTGGTGGTGGTATAGCTTTAGGATGATTCATGCAATGGATGAGGATGGGTAAATTCATTCCTCATTTCACGAACGATTTAACAGCAGTGTAGAGCTCCTCTCGTCTCTTCAGAGGAATAAGTACCAAAGGGGCCGTTCATAGAGTACGCAACTCTCTAGGAGGATGGGGGTTGAGGACAGTGTCACACCATTCTGTTTTTATGTGCTGAACGATATAAGCTTACGTCAGCAAAGCACTATAAGCGGGGTTCAAAAAATCCGAAATTTAATTTATGTATTTTATGAACGGCTTCTAACAGCAACATGAAAGTGCTGTCAAATTCTTTTCATTTCAAGGTTTTTTTCTCACCACATTGGTCTCTCAGTCAAATTTATTTTCCTGATAATTTTTGGTTTTCCAGCTTCATGAAACGAAAAACTTGCTTCTTCATGCAGCGAAGGATAGTGGACCCCGGCCTACATCGGTGGAGCCTGCAGTATCCGAGTATAATAGTTCCTTGAAGTTTGAAATGCTAGCAGGCACCAAAGCCCAAGAACAAAATGGGCAGAAGTGGGTTGTAAGTATCCTTTTTCAATTATTTCAGTGAGATTTTTTAACCCACTTAGCACTGTAGTATCCAAATTAAATTGACATTTTTCCCAAGTAATGGGGCAGCAGCAAGGGTTTTAGTGTAGTTTTCCTTACGTTAAATTTTTGGAAAACCAAGAAGTCCATTAAAAAATTCGAAAAATGGTTGATAATGGGAGGGAAAGCTAATCAAAATCTAATCAATTCAAAGCCTCACAGTCGAGGTGGCATAGCAAGGCAATACCTGAAGCAGAGTTTACACAATCAGCAAATGCCGTTTCTCTCACCGGGTTACCACACCAGAGCCAGCAAAAATGGGGTTTCTTTGCCATTTAGGTAGTGTTAAAAAAATCTGAAGAATTCTTAGGAGCTTTGTTCAGTCTGTTCTTTTGGAAAATGAATTTTTGAAAAATGGGCATCACTGACCCAAAAAAAAAAGATTTTCAGGAGTCTTTTATAGCTTGTCTGCCAAAAAGACTGCAATCAGTGTAATAGTTCAAATAACATCTCACCATTCATTTTGACTAAAGCACAATTTGCTCTATGAATAATTGTTAGTTGTGTTAAAAAAAATTGCAAGATAAGGTTTAAATAACTTAAAACATCGGTTTTTAGTTTAGAGAATTTGAAACTGCTTCCTCTGAAATAACATTTTAGAACATTCATAGTAACTGCCTTAAGTGTTAGTGGGAAAGTTGAGTGTCATTGGCATGATTACAACTTTTCCGACCTAGAGAGTGAGAAAAAAAGTAATGATTTTGAAAAATTGTGGGAAGGACAGGTTTTTAAAGTGGGAAGGCCGTTATAAAATAAGAAGTCGAAGAACTTATCATTTCATCCCTGTGTGCATAGTTTATTTTGTATATGTGGCATTTAATGAATGTTGTATTTGATCTCATGTTTCAGTGCTCAATTTTACTGTCAAAAATTTTTGTCGAGATAAATCACACAGTGTCTCTACAATTTTCATGGCAGCCAACGTCAGCTACAAATATGCCATGTATGTTATTTATCCGTGCCACACCTATTTACACCTCCCCGGACTTCACTAAAGTACCTGTGAAAAGATGTCCAACTCACAGTGTACCAAATCATCCTCTCAATACCGGTTTGTTTCAACACTTGTATCCTTATTTTTTCAGAAATACAACAAAAACTGTGCAATAGCCAAAACATCAAAACTGTTGAAAAGATATATCATGCTTTCAGAGAGACTGCGGTTTCCTTGTTTTTGAACGTGCAGTCTTTTGCTGCATGTGGAGAGCGCACAAATTGAAGGAGCTCTGTGACCTGCCAAATTTTTTGTGATGATGTGAGACTTGCACATTCAGGGAGAGATGAGTGACCTTGCCTCTTCCTTTGCTGATGTTATGTAGCAGAAATCATCATTGGCGGTCATTGGTGCTACCCGTTTCATTAATGCAATTATTGAGGAGTTTGGCAGTTAGTTTTTTCTTACCATTAAAAATTCCCTTGATTCAGGGTAAATGTTGAAAACAATTTATCTAAAAATGTTAAGTAAATTCTAATTATCAGAGTTTTCTTGAATTATATGTCTGATAAAGCTGACTATTTAGTGACTTTTAATCTTAAAAATAGACCAAAAATAAATTTTAGGTTGTCTTTTCTCGGTTCTTCTCTAGTATGTAAAATAGTTTTAGTAATCTTGAGAGGCAACTGCATAGTGAATCTGCAAGGTGTTGCTATTGCCAATGGTACGTTGTACTGAATAGAGCAGAATACAAGGTGGAGTATAGTCAGCGATTGTTAGTGAACTCATTTCCCCATCGGATGGGAAATTTCAGCTACTTATCAATGATACTGGAATAAAAATTTTATGAACATATTTTTCCTAGCAGTGTACTCGATTGCCTCTTCGGATATCCAAGTGAATCATATCCTCCTGATACTCCTGCTTTCTAGTAAGAATGCTTAAAACCAAGTAGTTCCACAGTTTAAAGATAAAGCAGACTTAAACTTAATAAATCACCCCTGAACTGTGTGGTACCATCATACATTTTAAATTTTAAGTGAGAACATATTAATTTTGACTCAAATGTTTTCAGTCAAATATTTTCATTTTGAATGTGCTTGTCTTAATCTTATAGTATAATTCCTGCGTTGTGGAATTCAAGTTTTCTCTTATGATTTATTTCAGGTCTAGATGAAGAAATGATTGAGCATGTTCTGCGATGCCCACGAGATGATGCCATTTATGAAAAAGATCCTGTCAGTGGCCGATGTAGTGTGAAAATACCAATTCAAGTCAACGATCCTGACTTTTATAATATGGTCGCAGGGCAAGGGGAAACTCAGATTGACTACAAATTCGTCTGTCAAACCAGTTGCGCAAAGGGTATGGAGAGGAGAGCCATTCACGTGATTTTTACCTTAGAAAATGGACAGTAAGTTGAAACCTCTTTTTCTCATTTAGAACCTTGCATCTTTAGGACTTCAGGACTACGCATAGAGTATCAAGAAATTCAGCGTCAGCTTAATTTCCATATTTTTTTACATAATATGCATAACATAATTACATTAATTACCTAATGTTCCTGTCGGCCTCCTGATATCTATGAGCATTTAAATTCAAACATTCCATCTCAAGAAAAGCGGACAGAAAATGGAATTTCTCAGCATTTCCACAAGCAAGATCTAGTCTAAATGTTGCAGCATCTTTTTTTGGTGATCGGTGGAATCATTTATTACCTTGCAGGCCAGAAAAAGGAGGTAGCCGAAAATATTCAAATTTCTCCGAATTATCAAAGTGCGCAGTGCAGCATCCACACACTCATAAGTCGTCTTTTTTTATGCTGTCGGTCGCTTACCGATGGCATCGCTGTGATTGCAACTGAGGGTCACGGACAACAGAAGTCGACAATCGCTCGCAATCACTCCATCGACATACTCCGGACTCAGATGCCGAGTGATTGCGGCTGATGGCATCAAAGAGTCACGTGACTGATGGTCTAGCTCAGTTTCACAAACTAAGCTCCGCCCATTGCTGATGGCATCAACGAAACAAAACACAAATGATTGCGCAGTGACGGCGACTGATGGCATAAAAAAAGACGACTATTGCAACAGTTTCACTTCTCCATCAGAATACGAGTGTTAGAGGAAGGCGCCAATGTCTCTGATCATCCCTGATTTTGAAAGGGTGTTCCCAATATCTCCAAAAGTCTCTAATTTTTTTGTTCAGGTCCCCACATAATGACATAAATCGTCCTAAACACTGGCATTTTCATTTTCCCACAAGCCGCGGTGGGGCGGTATAATCAGGAATAAAAACCGGAGTGTTACTTGGTTTTTTGTATGTTTTTATCGGTGCAACATGACTCGTAAAAGAAGTCATATAAAATGCGCCTTTTAATGCTCTCACTAGCCCCCTTTCCCTTACTTTTTGGGGGGAAAAGTCCCCCTTTTTCTTGAAAAAACACTCCTAAAAGCTCCCAAAAGTCCCCAATTATGGTTGTTTGTAATTGGTAGACACCCTGATAAAGCTGTTCAGCTCTAACTTCTCTTGTTTTCTGTTTTCAGAGGAGATGTGTATGGAAGGCGAACATGGGGATTCAAAATTTGTGCATGCATAAAACGAGATATGAGACGGGAGGAGCTTGACGCCAAAGAGTGCTCCAGCTCTCAAGACTCCGGTAAAACAAAGCTTCTTAAGAAAGAGGAGCAAATGAGGCTTGAGTCTCCTGAAGAAGCGATTGATAGATGTTTCTTTGACCTCGTAAGTTTATTTTTTTAAATACTCTGAACACATGTCTAGCAACAGTATTTTGCAGTATTTAATCATTTTGAGGAGAAGAATTAAGAATAAAATGTGAAATGATTTCTCCAAGAACAGCTTCATCAATCGTTAGTAACATGATGATGCTTGCAATCATACATTTATTCAGTTTGCCACTTACAGGCCATCTTCATATTTTATTAGTTGTCACCAGGAATTGTTTCATGTGTCCTCAGAAACGAAACGACATGTCAAACAGAATTAACCGTCACTAATGAATCAGTACGTTATCAGTAATAAGTGCATTCCAATTCCATCTTGCTTGCTGAACGTTAATCGTCCATCAATAAAGTGTCTATAATTAATATTAATGTCTTATTTAAATTTAGTCAAAAATTATCATGGCAAGAAAACTTAAGCCCACTCTTGGGGAGGCTATTTATTTGTCGAAGGTTGAACTGCAAAAATGTACGTCTTGGTCTGGGAGGCTGCAGACTTCGTGTCATAATTTATTTTTTAATATGAAGAATACTTAATGTCATCCCTTGAGAACTTCATTAATTATTCACCTCTGTGAGAAGAATATTCTGTGAAAATTTCTAGCAGTGGTGTTGTCTAGTTCTCTGCGGATAAAATAAAATAGCAGCAGGGGAGACACTGAAACATAACGATTGAGATACGCGTTTTGCAGTTTCACCATCAATTGATCATTAATTTTCTGTTTTTGTTTCGGATAACTGTATAGCTAAATGAATAATGAGTATTGTGTGATTTTTCTGTTCATTTTTCTGTTTTTTCTTATCTAGCTGAACTATCTTCCGGCACCACGGCTCGTAGAAGTAAGGAGGTTACTAGCTGGTCGTTTTCATAAGTGGGAAACTAACGACGATGAAAAAGTTAGAACTCTCTACAAAAAACTCCTGAAGAAATAATGGTCATCCAGGATGTTGATTCACGATTCTGAGTCTCTATTTTCTTTTGTTTATTGTTTAAATTTTCTGTATTCTACAGACCCATGTCTTTCAGTTGATTTATTTTTTATATAATTTAATAATTTGTGAATTCTAGTTTTTAATTAGTAAATGTGTTAATGTATTTAAGCGCAGCATCTTTCAAGCGCCATGTTACATAATTCAGAATGATCAAAGCATAAGATGGCAGAAGAGAGGTCAATTTTTTTGTTCTGTATCCTTTGACTATTTCTCTTTAACTCTCATCTTGTCAGTCACGAGTGGTTATATTCAGTGCATTCATGAAATGCAAAAAAAATCTAACTTTTTGTAACCTCTCAAATTTATCATAGGTAATTAAATGAACTGATTGATATAGTGATCAGTAGTGATCACAGTCATCTGCATCCCCCTGGCATCAATAGCCTAGTTTAGGTGGACTGATTAGTCTATAAGTTTCTTTTATATTTTTTTCTCTTTTCCTATGCGAGGTCGTAACCCTAATAACATGGTGCTAAAATTTCCTTTTGACTGTGGACACACCGTCAGCAGGGGTTTTTCCTTTTTTTAAGACACGGGGCAGGCACACGGTCAGTAGTTCCCGAGCAACTACCTGCTCTTTTTCAACTAGGGCCAGAAATTATGTGAATGTTTGAATTAGCACTGGACTAAGACTAACAGAAACAAATCAAATCGCATCAAGTTGAAACGGAGAGAACGAGGTTTGCTCTTTTGATGCAGATCGCCGAGAATTGACAAACGGCTCAATTGCGTTAGTTTTTTCGGTCTTGGCAAGAAGTCTGAAACAAAGTTCCGATTCTGCAATATTCCTTTCTTATTGGTCCACTCTCCTGCCTGAGCCACACTTTCCACCCATGCGACGGAGAGATTTGTCGATTTAAGGTGCTGGATGGGAGAAGAACAGAACTTCGTTTCATTCACCTTGGTTTGAAGTTTTATTCCTTTAGAAGACTCAATGTTAAGGACGAAAGAATATTTCCATGTTCATAATATTTATTCTCGACTTTAAATTTTTGATAGAAAATTTACAACTATTCGACCTCAAAATTGCTGTATTCTCAATATTTTTCTAAAATAGGACCTGCTGCATTTCTGTTAATGTGGGTCCAACGAAAGACATGTTACCAAGACAATTTGTGAAGTTATAAAATTATATTTTGTAGATCAGTTATTTCATCAGCACATAGTTAATCATTCACCTTTAAGGCATCAGTGCCTTTCGCTGTCCCATAAGAGACCAATGCTGCCGCCAACTTTTCCTATTACTTATACAAAATCAACAAACAGTAGGTCTTAAAATTTTCCTCAGGTTATCTATGCTTATATAAGAGGTATTCTTAAAAATGCTGGTAAATTTTCAATTTTTAAAGTCTTTGTCAAAAGATCTTTCAAAATTGGAAGTGAGTTTTTGATTTCCCATCTTCATCACTGAACAAATAACCATGTAACGTTGTTGGTTTGAAATTTGTGTGTGTAAATTTGTACTATACGAAATTTTCAGTTTGTTAGTTCCTCTTGAATAAATTTTTTTACTTTATTTTTCAGTTTGCTAGTCTCTCCTTTTCCCTCACTGTATTTGATTGAGTCCCTGACTGACCTAAGTTTGTCAGGCACTGTATTCGACAAACCTACATTTAGAAATCAGAGCATCCTCAAGGAGTTGTGGTTGATTCTAAATATTGATGGCTCCGGCCGAAAAATGCATAGCTCAGATTGCGACGTTGTAGGTCTCAGCTCATGATTTTCTTTGATTTGTTTCAAGAAAACCAACCAACAGATTACACCAACAGATTGCAATTTCCTGTTAATTTACCTTCTTTATTAAACAAAATTGCAAAAATCAATTTTCATTAGTTCTTTCAGAAGAAAATATAACATAAAAGATTTTCAATTAATGCGACTGAGCTAAGACAACGAAATCATTATTGGTAAATTCCAGTTTCTTCACTGCAGAGCCTTTTTTTTTTATTATTCCCAAAATAATCGTAAAAAATGAAATAATGAGTTTTGTATATACTTTTATTATTTCTTAGTACATTCATGGTAAAAAAGAATTTAATGAGACTATTAAACCCTATTTTGGGGGCTCTATATACATTGGCAAAATTTATTATTCATCAAAATCAAATGGCGGTAGATGACCATGGCCGGATTGGGGAGGGAGAGATTGGCCACAACCCATGGCTGCAGATCCGGAAAGTAATGACCTCTGTTCAAGTTCTTGCTTTTCAAGTCATTGAAGGTAATCACTCTTGGAATTTAAAGGCAGCAATCAGTTGTCGACTGAGGGCAGCAAAACTGTACACTGGCCCTGTGGATGACTACTATCAGAGATAATGTGATGAGACTCTTCTCTATATAAGTTGATACACTCCTGGGCTGCTACAGAAAATCCGCTATCTTGATTCTTGCATTTACTTTCAATGCTAGATTTACGGCACATGCTCTTCTATCACATTTTAGAAGTGCATACACTTATTTGGTGTGGACTTTACCTCTCCAGTCTCCATGCAATTCTTCACAGAGATCCAAAAATAATATTGAGTTTTTAATCCCACATTGAAGGTATGCTGGAAAATGAATGTTAATCCCTGAATCATGTTTTCGAGAGAAATGCGTGGGGGTAGCAATTCTGAATTACAAAACAGGACTATTAACTGAACTTCTTTCATGATTGCAAAAGTGAAAGTTGATCAAGTAAAAATTTTAGGACTAGCCACCAAGAGCGGAAAGCCCAATTCTTAGGAGCTAAAGCAACTTTTTGCATACCTATGCATCATAGTCTTCAACGGTGCATTGTGAGCGCGAGGTGTCAATATTTTCACACACCATGATGGCCTTCCCCCGCCCCCCCTCTCCCTCCAATTTCCAGGCGCATGACACCTGAGGAACGTAGAGCACCGGTGAAGTATTTCATCACTTCATTTCTCACCAGAAGTAAAGCAATCAAGTCTCTTGTAGGGGTCGTACACAAATGTGTTGAAAGATGTTGCTGAAATATAGCTTTTCTCACAGTTTCCTCTCACAACAATCTTACCTATTCTTAGCCAAATGATCTTCCCTAACTACTCAAGTATCAAAAAATATATTTACTTTCAGCAAAAAAATTAAGTAAAACCTTCGGAGACTGAGGATATCAATAATAAACAGAATACAATAGTAAAAATAGTGAGGTGTAGTTGACTTCTAAAGTATTGAGCGAATTCACAAAGACTAAAAGTAACAATAAAAGTGAAAAGGTAGCTTCACATTTATAAAAAAAACTTAAAAAATTAGAAAAGAATTGCAGTTTCCCCCTTCCTTTACATTTGCAGCAGTTCATTGTGTCAACATCAAACGAACTTCCCGAAAGCTTTGTCTTGTTTCTGGGACTCACAGTAGGATCAGTAACAATAGACAGTTGTGGCCTACCTAATGGAAACTTGCCAAAAAATACATTTTTCTCACCTCAGGTCAATTTTGAGAGAGAGATTGCTTGACGTTTGAAGTATGAATCTAGATCAGGTTATTCTGAAAGTTTAAGAATTGAAACCACCTCAATTTCGATCATCACTTTTCTCTTGAAAACTTTTATGTATCAAAATCTTCTTTACAGTACTTAATGTAATTAAATGACAAAGCTTCAAAAATGCAGATTATTCTAAAAATGATTCTGGTTTAAGAAGGGTCTTTTGCCATTGGTAACATCACACATAAATCACAGTGGGGACATCAAGAGAGTCTGAAATCCGCTATTCAGTACGAAATTTACGAAATGTGAGTCACGATTTGTGTATGTGTTGCCGGCAATTCGTCTTCGTCACCAGTGATCAGATTTGTCCAGAAGAAGATGTTAAAAGCTTTACTTAATTAAACAAACAACTCCTCAAACTTTTTCTCACGAATGATTTCAAACATTTTCAAATGTTCCTTCCCTCCTCATTTCTTTATTTACAAAAACAAAGCTTCAAATCAACTGGAATCTTACATAAGGAAAGTTTGTAACAATTTGCAAGGTTGCTTGTTTAGTTGGGTTAAGTTTTCTTACACCTCTCTCTAAACAAACGTGGTCGCCATTGACTAGGAAAAAAATTCTTGCGGATGTGGGAAATTCGAAAAAGCAAGTTACAAACTACCCAAATAGTAAGCTAAATGGTAGATTTAAAACTTCTTGGATTTGCCCATTGTGATTATTGTTTGATTCTAACTCTAAAATGTCAATTCTCAATTCACTTGACTGCATCTCTTGCGTGCTACAGACCCATTAGATAACATTCAACTATATGGACTTAATTGCTTTAAATGCATTTTGATTTCCTTACAGGATTCTCTTCATACAAAATCTAGAGATTATTAATTTTGATAATTTAACAGACCTTTGAAAATTATCGAAACAAACAAAGCGACTTTAGCCAAACTCAGGAGAGTCAGCAAGGAAGTTACTGCTCATCGAGGTACACCCAGTAACTTCTTCCTTCCATTTTTTTTTTTAATTTTATGATTTTGTACAATAATAGGATTTTATCAGCTACTTATGATAGATGCTACTCTCATCAGTTACATTTGCTGGTCTTCCAGATGAATAACCTATCTTCAATCAAACCAATTAAAGTCTAAAGTAAGTATTTGTTCTCAATATCAACAAGGCTCCTAACTTTAGTGGTAACCTATACACAAGAATATATGATCACACTTCATTCATAACTGGGCAGATCAGATGTTGAGAGAATTAGGCCGAAATTTAAACTGCTTTGGTCACAATTACAACAGCAGATGGAACAAGCCCTGAAAAAAACCAAATGCAAAAGGAGTTAGTCTTGTAAAAAACTTTAAGTCTCATTTGGACATATGTATTTCTGCTAAAAGGAACTAAGTTGCGAGCAAACCCTATGCTCATAGCTCGTTTCAGCCTAAATATATCCATTTGATGTAAAGTCGCAAACGATAGTGAGAGGAGTAATGATGCTAAAAGGAACTATTAGAAAATAAATACAAATCAAAAGGAACTATGCTTATAGGATTTGCATCTTACATAGTTTCTTTCTATTTCATTCACTTATAAATAGTTTCATTCAGCAATCTGTACAGTTGGTTTACAACAACGCACTGAATGACTGAAAATTCAAAGGTGCAGTCGAAGAAATTAGGATTGCAAAGTACCCGAAATCGAACCGACTCCTCTTACAAAAAATATAAATAATAAGTTTCTATAAAAGTAAGAATTAATAGTACACAAGAAAAATTCTTGAGAAAAAGAGAACCACAATTAAGCATGGAACCAAAATTTAAGGATGTCGGTTTATGGGTGTTCCGATTGTCGTAAACAGAAGAGTAAAATGCGACTCCTTTCCTCTTCACAATGCGAATGACAATACTGAACATTTTTCAAATGAAAGAGTCCAATCACTGCTGACGGCCATTATTGGCTCTAAAACTGAAATTCAAGTCCTTAAAATGATTTATAAGAATGGAGCCTGCCGATCAAATTGCATCTTAAGACTTTAGCTTGAATTTGAGCACTAACACAAAAATGTTTTGCAATTTATTGCTAGACAAGCTAAGAATTGAATCTGTGAGACCATAAGCACACACTCTTAGGTTTTCCTCCATTTCAATTTCTTTACAGCTTAGCATTTCTCCAGGAAAATTTGAAAATTAAGTCTCAGAAACTACACGTATTGTGTACCAAGAGGTAGATTTCAGACTTTTATAATATGTGCAACATTATTTTCATGACAGTTTAAGCATAGAAAGTCTAATCAATTTGCTGCACATCTTGCATGCAACCAATCCAGTCAATCGTGCAGAGGTTCTTTCAAACTTACCAAGCACTTCTAGTGGTTTCTGATAATCCTCATCTGTAAATTTCTTCTTTGGGAAATTAGTCATGAGAGAGAATGGACCTTGTCCATCTGTACGGTGAAGCTCAACATACAGTCTTACCGCTGATAGCTGCTCTTTGCAACTGAATGTCTGAGTTAAGGCTTGTCCATTGGTTAATCGAATCTACAAAACGGACATAAGTATGAAAATTCATTACTAAGTTCAAACATTTTACTAAAGAGGTGTATTTAGCTTTGAACGTCAGAGCCAGATTTAGGTTTTTGCTGCGCGGTAAAAAAGTACTGTCAGCACTCCGCTATATCTGGCGCTAGTGAACATATAAATCTCATGAAAAAGATTCACTTTCTGAGTTTGAATGAGAAAATTTGAAGGAATAGCAGGTGTATAGTAGTATATGAGAAAAATTATGATTAATCACTTCTTTCATACATTAATGAGAATGAATTGTGGCTAACGTCTCTCCGAAATGTAGGTTTTGTTTGGCTTCAACGGATATTGACAGTAATAACCATGCAAAAGATTACAATGGCGAAGGAAATTGAAGAGAATGTTTAAGATCCGGAGAAATGTTGACACCAAAAAAGAGATTTTAACAAATTCAGTCAGTTATTGAAAAGCTTTCCGGAAAAATGTATTTTTGTGCCCTACGGAATATGTATGCAAAATTTCAGATCAATCTGCCTACTTTTGAAGCCAAATAATTTTTCTGTTTAGTAGTTAGATTTGGTTCATATTCTCAAACATTAATGAGTTTGATAACTTTCTTGTGTTTGTCCAATTTACATCTTGGAATTTTTTTTTTTTTAAAAAAAAAAAAATTAAAAGTAATGACAGCATATGTGTAAAAACATGGTAGTATTTTGTAAGTGCCTGAATATGGCCTCCCTTGAAATGATCATCGCATGAAAAGAAAAAACAGAATACATCCGGTAGAACAAGCGGAAAAATCGTCAAAAATTCAAGAACAGTCCTCAGTTGAGGAAATCACCACTCAAGACCATTTTCCTAATGACATAATCACAGATTTCAATGTGTTCCCGGAAAAGAGGCTCTCACGTCTAAGGAGTAACTAGACATTTCTTACCTTTAACTCCTCTCTGACTGTTTGCAAAGTAAAAATTGGGAATTTTAGAAGCAGAAACAGTTTCTATACCTGAAAACACGCCTCACTGTATACCTTAGACTCTAGAGACGTTCACATGGAAAAATTCGGGAATTCTAGTCACAGAGTCAGGTCTTCAGGATTTACTCTTGACTACCCAGGTAATTTATGAGAAAATGGCATTAAGCCAAGGGCTGTATTTGATAAGGTTGTGATAGTGAGCCTTTGGTAACATTTTGAAAGGAATAATAAAAACCTTAAATGCATTCTCTCGATACATAATTTTTCAGTAAAACCCCATCTTGCAGAAATCTTTGAAGTTAGAGCTAAAAAATATTAAAAAGAATACCTGAATTTTCGTCTCGGTATAATCTTTCTTAACTGCCGGAGCTGAGGAAACAGGTACAGGTGCAGGAGGTGGTGATGTTACTGCTGCTGCATTCTGAGAATCTGGAGTACTGTACTTCAATTTTCTGGCGAGTTTGTCGGCTTCTATTTGTTTTCGTACTCTTTCTCGGGCTACTCTCTCTTCTTCCTTTTCTCTCCTGCGAAGTTCCGCCATTTTCTTTATTTCATCCTCCTCTAGTCTAAAATTTTAAAAGAGTAAAGTGAAAGTAGTGCAAACACTAGTAAAAATGGGATTGCTGATTGCACCTTGCTAAACCATGTATAGGCACAGCAAGATGTACAACAAAAATTGCTGAAAAGCAATGTCTTTTAGTGCTAATTCTACAAAACCATCCTTTAGATAAATCTGCTACAGATTCAAGTGGATCTGCGTATCATTTTACAATTTTATTGAACGTTTAGTTACAACAATTAAACATTTTGCAGGTCTATGAAAAAGTTAGGAGAAGTAGTAAAATGTATAGCAAACTTATCCAACAAAAATAGCAGGAGATCAGCCTTCTAACAGATGGCTGATTCAGCATTGCAGTATACTTTCACTGCCTGCCATTATCTTTTTTTGCTAAGTTATCTAAGCATGTAGGAGAACCAGTATTAATTTTTCTTTTGAAGGCATCTTTGCAGATACGAATTCAACTGAATTTCTGGTTTTTTGTCATAATTCCAAGGTTTCCATAATTTTTTCATTTTCTGATTTCCTAACTTTCTTTCCCTGCTCTTTTCGCTTTTCCTTGGCTACATTTCTGAATTCACAGACTTTTCCTAAACTTTGATCAAAACCTCAAAGTATTTTTTTCTTTAGATTAAGTTGACTTTCGCAAAACTATGAACAAAATCTCTACTTCAAGGGATTAAAATTAAAGAAATAGGCACTCTGCAATTGTTGCCTAACAATCAGGTAGAACGGAGAATAATTTTAAGTTTTTGTTGCAGTGCACTGTAAAAAATATTGAAGATACACACTTTTTTTTAGCGGCAATCATTTCTTTTCCAGACTTGATCCTAATTCTTTCTCTCTCCAGCGCATCCCTCTTCTCTTGTTCTGCTCTTTCAGCACGTTTCTGCTTCAATAGCTCTTCAACTTTCCGCAACTGCTCTTGCTTTTCTTCTTCCGTTAATGGTTTTTTCTCCTCCGTTGATTCTGAGAATGCACTGTGCCCAGATTTACCGGCGTGAAATTCAACTTCTAACTGAGTCCTGAATAATTTCCCACACCTATAAGTCAACATTTAAGAACAATACATTAATCTGTGCAGAATAAAAAATCATAAAAGAAGTAAAAATCTGTGTAGGATAATTAAAGTAATGGCAATAACCTGTCAAGGTGATTTGTCCCAGGCTCTTGGCAAGGCTACACTTGCATGCAACATGTCGCTTCCATTACGTTATGAATCTAGGCAGATTTTGACTTTTTAGTCAGAAAGGACGATAGCCTCTGCACAAGAGCCCAAAGAATCATCCTCAACCAAAAAAAAAGCAGGATTCTGGGGTAAAACGTTGCATACGATCTAATTTGTTTTTTTCCAAGGAGAACCCTGCCTTCATCTCTCTGAATTTTATAATTTTTTTGGTCGAGCATTATTCTTCCCCTCATTTGCAGGGGCTCTTGTCCTACTTTCAGCTTAAAAGTAAAAAAACTGCTAAGATTTTTGCTTAATTCAGACGCAATACATAGCATGTCAGTTCGACCATGCCAAAAACTCCTGAGCTTTACTTCAATGAAAAATAATCTGTCACTTGTGTGAACACAAGTTTAAAGTAAAAATGATAAAACAGGCCATGACAAATAAAAAAAACAAGATTGTGTCCGAGTTTAAGACTGCATAGATACAGGCTTCCTTGCTGCCATTTTCTTCATGAAAGATAGTGATCCGATGGATTAGCAGCATGAGATTTCAACTAAATAAAAGCTGCTTATAACTAGACAATGTATTGCTTTCCAGCTAGCACTCCAATTTAAAGAGAAAATAAATTCACTTACTCGTCACACTTAATTGACTTTGCAGAGGCATCAGCAGCTGCGTTTTCAGAACTGTTCTCTGAACTCTGTCCATTGCTGGTTGATTCAGAGGCAGGTGCAGGAGCAGCTTCTGTTTCAGCTGCTTTGCTGCCAGATGGTGTCATCTCAGTTTGATGAGCCAAAATCCTACGAAAGAAAAAAATAAGTTAGCCAGTTTTACATCTGCGTCACTCCTATCGTCTATGGTGGTGGCCAGAAGCTTAATTTGCACTGTTAGCGAAGTTTTAAAGCTTGAACGAACAAGATCATTTAGAAACTTCAGATTACTTCCAATGATTGATGATCCATGATGGCTAAGAATTAAATGGTTTTATTTTAGCTTTCTATCGTTTTTTGGAAACATCATAAGGTATCATTATGAATGATAAAATTCTCACTAGGTCAAGCAGAATGATGATTAATTCGATTAATTCAACATTGAAAAAATAAAAACCAAATTTTTCCATGATGAAAGAGAAGAAGTTTTACTTCTTCATTATTAACAGCATGTCTTAAGGAATTCCTTGAAACATTACCTTTTGGTTGACGTATCACAAACGCCATTTGTGCTTCAGCACTACCGAAGCTGCACAACTTCTCAAACTTGGCCAATTTACTATGGAAAAATCAAGGGAGAGAATCACTGGGAAATTTCACCTAATATTTCATTATTTGTCATAAAGATTAATCCCTGAAATTTGATGGGAGGACATGCAAAAGTTTAAAAAAAAAATTAAAACAATATTAAGATATCCTGCAACATAACATATAATCATAAATGGCGATTGTGATACTTTGGCCAGAAGGTGACAAAATCACTTCCTATTCTGAAGAAATTATGGCTTTTGAAAAAATCTAAAATGACATCGTTAATATTAATATGGGATGAAGAATATACAAACCACTCAAGGGCAGGTTCAACTCCTCCGGTTGTATTTTGCAATCCCTTCTCACTAAACAAAACAGAAAAAAGGAAATACTTATAAGCGCCATAAAATCATCCCTGGAGCAGCAATACCAACAGACGCTTGAGCAATGACACAATGCTTGACTGATTGGTAGCAACTGAGATTTCATATTACCCCTGGCAGAAGACCACAATAAAAAATTTGCACACAAATTTCTTACTGCTTCATCTGGGAGTGCTTGAGGGGCTGAACTTGTAAAGTTTTTCATAATTTTTTTGGGGTATGGGAAACAGTACATAAAAATAGATTTAAAAGTGAAAAAATGCACCGCCTGGTGACGACATTACCCATTTAAATACAAGTATTTTAGCAGATCAGGTTGTTATCCTATCTTCTTTAATAATTGTTCAATTTATGAACTAAGAGTATCCATGTGTTCAGTCCGCTCAGTAGTTTCCACTTACTTGAACACAAAATTCATCAAAATTCAGACACCTGCAAATTCATCATCGTACTTGTGAAGAAAAAACTTCAAGTAAAGCCAACTATATAGAACAGAAATTAGATAACAGATCCACCTGAAGTTGATGTTGATATTGAGCAAGAGATGCGTTCGTGATAGACAACGGGCCTCAGCGGAAATTACCCAGTGAGGGCCTAGCGAGTTTGATGATCACTCTTGAACCTCCGTTGAGGCAACACCTTACACCCAGTGACTGTCGTGGTGGTTCAATGCTTACCGCAACGGCTCAGTACCTTTTGAAGCTGGGGAATGGAGCATTGAGCCTTGAAGTGGTAAATGAAGTAACATGACAATACCTATGCCTTCGTTGGACAACACGTAACTCCGCAGGGAATTCACCAAAATAACCCCCGTTATCTATGACCAAAGCACTTACGCAGATTATTCGTTGACTTCTTTTGAAGACAAAATAGAGTAGATACCTCATTTTTGTCATAAATCATAGAAAAGAAAAAAAGACCGTTTTGGACTACGAAGTTTGATGTTGTCACACAAGTGAGGTTATGATTTCAAACAATTGCCAGTAATACATCTACATCCATGAGACTAAGCCCATCCATACAGCTCTACAGCCAAAGAGTAACTATCCACGATCTTACACTCGAATGTTAAAAGAAATAACATCGCTTGAATATGTCTGCTTATCTGTACGTAGCAAGGATGCACTGTCATTCTACCCTTGTCATTTACTGGTTGAAAAATATGACATCAAAATAAGGGAAGCAAAAAAAGCGAGACACACGAGCAAAAATGATCTTGAAAAGGTTGTAAGCCCTCTCCGGAAAGCGGAAATTAATTGATAAGAAGTTATTTAGGCAGACTTACGCGAGCTCCTTTGAAAACCCCATATCAATCAACATTTGAACTTCACCAGACATTCTGACAACTCGTATTAAACTGAGCACACAAAAGAATCAATTGCTTATTAGTCACCGCGTCAGTTTCGAATTACACTTCGAAGGAAAGCGTGAAAATTACGTAAGGCATGAAAGTTTTATCACAAAAGCGCTGAATTTTAGGAAAAGCTCAAAAACTAGCCGGACGGGGAAATTTGAGGTTAGAAATGTTCTCCGCGCCTAGTCACCATTGTTGCCGTCTGTTGCATCAACGCTCAACAATCGCTGATGACGTAATCCTTTGCCCCATTTGACCGTTTGATGGGTTGGCGGTTTTTGTTTTGACCGTTTTGTTTTGCACTGTTCCACTGTGGTCAGGGTCGATGTGGCTCTCTAGTGTCGATGCGATTTCGAGGCCCCTTCACTTGGTTGAGACTTGAGACTAAGTTGAGGCCCCCCCTAACTAATTGATGGGGGGGGGGGGGGGGGGTCCGGAGTTTCTTTCCCTTAAGCTGTTAAATAAAAATTTACATCCTTAAAACCATTGATAGATCGATATCATTGCGAAAATACAAGCGTTTTTATTAGAAATATTACTTATTTAATGACTCAGGCCTGCATCGAAGAAAAATTAGAAAAGAAAACAAAAAAACTCCCTCTAAGCATGTAGAAATGACTCTGGCGTAATTTTAAACGCTGACGGTGAGTTCGAAAATACTATATACCTGTGAATTTTTTCCATATACCCACCAAATTTGCGGAAATTCGAGATTTTCCGAAAAGTTGGACCGTGGAAGAGGAATATCAGGATCATTTTCAGATTTTAGCAGCAAAAAAAGACACGGAAATTTATAGCTCTGAAGCCTGAATAATTTTCCTAGCTGTGATAACGAGAGGTCTTTCTGGTCAAATAGCAGAATTCTCCAAAATACCCTAATGTTCGGGCAATTACGATTAATAACAGAACAGACTGAATGATAGTGATAAATCGAGAGAAAATACAACGCATCAATCGCAAACTTACAATTCTCTAAGGACTACACTTCTCTAACATTTACCCATCAGGTCTCGTCGATAATAAGAAGATGAAAACCAGAGGATTTTGACAATTTTCAAATATTTTAAAGAGAGATCAGTGCTGATAACCCACATTATAACTCCCTAGCGATCAAACTGCATGATATAAAAAATCGTATACGCACGATGAAATTAAGGAACTTCAATTGAATATGAGCACTAATATTATTAAGGGCATAGATGCGCCGGAGATAGAAGTTTGCGCCTTGCACGAACTTCGAGAAACTATTTCAACTCTCCGGAGAGCAAATTGCATATACGAAGAAATGAAGGAACTTTGTACGGCTCCCGTTGTCTGCAACTTTGGAATTTGATGAGACCTTCGCATGGTCCTACATGCAGGGCTGGATTAAGGGGGTGGCCACATGTGCCGCGGCCCATGGCGGCAAAATGTAGGGGGCGGTAAATTTTGCAATTGTTTTGAATGTAGGTATCAAAAAAGAGAGAAAAAAATCGGATTCAGAAAATAAATTACAAACGAGAAAAGACGACAAAATCTCTCATTTCCTGAGAATAAAAGTACAGTAATTTCTAATTTTGTCGTCTTTCGGTGATACAAGAGACAACACCTTCAATTAGTCGAGGTAAGAGAGAAACCAAACACGCAATTTGGTATGGAGCAACGCGGCGCAGAGAGCAATGATGATGAATAGGACTTGATGATGAAATAGGACTTGAGATGAGAAGGAGAAGCCCTCAGCGCGGTGGTCGGCATGTAACGCACATAATAGCACCTGCAAGACTGCATGAATACTTCACGCATTGCGTCGAAAACAGCGCGGTCAACGTGAAGAGCATAGCGCCTACTGGACTTCATGAATACTTCACGCATTGCATCGAACATAGTGCGTTCAGCAGCGGTCGGCGTGAAACGCATAGCGCCTACAAGACTGAGGGAATACTTCACGCATTGCGTCAAAAACAGTGTAGTCAGCGCGGCGCGGCGGCGGAGGTTAAAATTATTAAACCACATTTATGTTTGTTCTTGCATAATATGTACGTTCATTTCTTACAAATGGAAGGCCTTCTTCACACAGAGATAGGTTTTCGGAACTTAACTTTCGCGCAAAGTTCCGTGAACTTTTGCTAATAGTGTTGATAGGATTTTCGCAAAAAATGTTTCCAACACGAGTGAACGCGTCTTATGCACCCCTCCCCTCCCCCTCCGGTACATCACTTGATGGTTTTTATCGATGTTTCAAAACGAATGAGAAGGAAGCGGCAAAATACAGGTGGCCCATGGGCGGCAAGTAGGTAAATCCGGCCCTGTGTGAGACACTCTTCAGTCTCCTGTTTACGAACACAGTTCAAAACGGCTGCATTATTTTGTGAGTTCTAGGTGGCGGTAGCCACCCCGGCCCAATCCTAAAAAACTCCCCCTAAAAGTTGACGACCAAGAAAAATACACACAGACAACTGAGGTGAATCAGTTGAGTCCAGACGTATTTTTGTCTTCTCTCGCCAGTGTTCGAAACTCACAGGCGTCAACGAGCCAAATGCGTCTAAGAAATAGGTCATGGCCCTAAAAAATGGAGGCTCTGCGCCACCGTGGCCCCTAAAAATTGCCTTCCCCCCCCCCCCCAAATAAAAAAAAAATCATATTTTTCCTGTTTGGCGATTCTTCGAAATTTCCTCCAAGTAACACCTACTAATTCTGTAACTAAAACATCTTGCGTCTAACTTGTCACTAAATGCGCCGCGATAAGTCAAAAAGTCAATTTGGCCCCAAAAAAATCTTCAATGGCCTCTTAAAATCGAACTTGATGCGCCGTATCGCTCCTAAAACTCCAAGGTGAGTTTCGAACACAGAACACAGCATCTCGCTCATCGTGCCACGCCGCCGCCGCCGCCGCGCCGCACCCGTACGTGCTCAAAACGCCTTCATTTTTTGAAAACGCAACACAGACAACAGTCAAGTTAGAATAAGGTGCGTGCAGGTCCAGGCGTTGTTACCGATACTTCGCTGCGTGTATTCGTGAATTATCGCAGTTGATTACTTGGGGACTTGTGCAGTGGCCAGTTTCAAATAGTGTCTCTCTTTCCTTAGAGATTCTTACCTTAATCGGCCGCTTTTACACAGCAGAAGAAGAGGAAGAGGCCTGTTAACACAAGTGAGCTGTAGCGGATAGACTTCCGCTGAATGGATACGCCAAATTCAACTTAAGTGCGTGCGCCTCAACTACTTTTAACTCTACGGCAAATCGTTGGTATGGGGGTTGTATGAGTCAGTAACAAATATTTGACGAAGTTGTTAAAATATTTGATATTGTTTGACGTATTTTGACAAGTGTGGATTCGGTTTGGAAAACTTGAGAAGCGGGCTGCCCAAGCTTATAGATTCACGAGTTTCTCCGTCTGTAGATCCTTTCAATTCTTAATTTTTTTCCTCTTAGGTGTGAATCGCCAGTGTAACAAGGGCATCGGTCCAACTAAAATTATTGCGCTACTGCTGCTTCTACTTTTTTTTTTTTTTTTTTTTTTTTTTTTTTTTTTTTTTTTTTTTTTTTTTTTGCAGCTGGAAATATTATCGCACAGCAACGATAAGAATGACAAGACGTATTTTTACATTTTTCCTTAGCGTAGTAGTTCATAGTTGCATCGGTATCGATATGATCGGGTTCACTTCCTACCCGAACAGTTTTTTCACTTATTTTTAATTTCCTATCAGTCCGGCGTGGAGTGCATTGCGGTGTATCGATTGATCTGCTATTAAAACCTATGGAAAAGGATCGATAAACGGGTCGTTCGCAACGCGAACAACTTAATAATCGACTCTTCATCATGGCTCCAAATGGGGAAATATCGAAAATCGAGCATTCATGCCTTGCCGCACTGTTTGCTATTATAGCAGGGAAGGGGAAACAATTACCTTGTTAAAAATAAGAGAAAAGAAGGATACCTACGCATCAAAATGCTTCCGTGCCGCAAGAAATCTAAAAGGAGCCAAAATTTGAAAATTAACGGTGATTATGCTTCTGAATCTGGGTAAATTTGCGGACAGAAAAGAACTTTGTTAATTACGTTCTTCTAATCCTATTCCGATAAATGGGAACAGATATCGCTCCTTAGCTTCCTCAATGCGCATTGCGCTGTTCGATTCAAATTTCGGGGCAGATCAGAAAAAATTCGAAGGAAACACGAGGCGTGGAGAAATCGTGACAGCTCGGATGGACTCCACGTTTTTTTTTCATTTTTTAATATTTTGGTTTCCTTAATTTCGTAGGCTGTTTTTTTTCTTTTTTTTTGTTTTTTTATGTACCTACGCCTACGCACCTGCTTCAGTCATCCATTTAAATATACATGTTTTAAACATTTTTCTCCTTTCTTTAAACGTCTCAAAAAAACACCTCTGAGAGAGAAACTTAAATCAGAAAAATTTCGAATGAAACACGAGGCTTTGCGCAATCGTGACAGCTCCGATGGACTCAAGTTTTTTTTTTCTTTTCTTTTCCGCCATTTGTATTTCCTTCCTTAATTTCGTGAAGGAACTCTTTTTTTTTTCATTCCTTTATTCTTTCACGTACACCTACGCTCCGGCCTCAGTCGTCGATTTAAAAAATTCTTTCAAAATGTCTTACACATTTTTTGAACGCCTCAAAAAACGCTCCACTGAGAGAAACTTGCGTCAGAAAATTTCCAAATGAAACACGAGGCTTTGCGAAATCGTGACTGCAGCTCTGTTGAACTCATTTTTTTTTTCCGCCATTTTTATTTCCTTAATTTCGTGAACTCTTTTTTTTTTCATTTCTTTATTCTACAACGCACCTACGCTCCTGTTTCAGTTGTCGATGTAAATTTAATTTTTCTTAAAATTTCTTACACATTTCTTTGAACGTCTCAAAAAAAAGCGTTTCTGAGAGAAACTGATCTTGATCTACTATTTACCCTTTTCCCGCTAACCCTGTCGACTATGTGACCTTTAGGGCTCGGCTTATCGAATGCGGAAGGATCAGATAGCAGAGACTTGAGCTAAGGGCGAAGGGAGGGAGAGCACCTATAAGATTTGGCACCCTCCGTGATTTCTCGCGGGCGCACGACTGTGATGGACCATTGGCGATGAGGGGCGCGCGAGCGTCGGCGGAGGGGGGAGGGGGGCGAAGAGGAATTTTGAAAATTCCGAGATAGGGGTTAGAGCTTTCCTGATCAGGTGGGAGCCGAAGAATGCAATGCAGTGGCGAGAGTGGAATTTTATATAGATAATAATATCTACTAGCCTGTGAGAGAGAGTATGTTAGATCCGAAGGTTATGGAATGTGATTCGGAATGTAGCCTCCTTTGCAGGCATCTTGCTCAGGAATGCGGTTCTCCCCACCTTTTCTCAACTTGTTTCAACTCAACATAACTCGGCGACCACGGAGCGAGGACGGTCTCAAATATTTTAGACTTGTAGTATTTCCACCCGGGCCGCGACGAGCAGCGCATCTCCACCGCGATCAGCTTTTCCCATAGCCTCACGCTGCGTGCCTTACGCTTTTTTCGACTCCAAATCAGTTTCGGATTCGTGAACCTCTGTGTTTCCCGCGTCGAAATTCACCTCTCGCGACCGTCGCCGCCAGCCCTCGCCATGGTTCGCCGATCGACATTCTTTTAGGTTATGGTAAAGCCAAGTGTGTCATGTACTTATTTTGAAGTCAACAGGTTGTTGTGTTTTCGTCGCCCCCATATGTGCTTTTGTCCCTCGTGTTCGTGAGTAATTTCGTGCGATTTGTGTTCGTTTCTGTGCTCCCCAGTTTGTGCCCATCGTTTATGTCGGTTTGTTTTGGTTTATGTGTTATCAACGCCTCTGTGTGATGGATTATTTTAATTGTTGGAGTATCTCTCTTCGAGGAATGGATAATCCAAAATTGAAAGGTCAGTCGTGTACTTCATCATTACCATCTTGGTTAATCTCAGTAATATCTGGCATGTTTGATTGCTAATGTACTGTTATCATCATTAGCTGAGGGGTTAGACACGACATAGAGCCAAGCAATTCTTCGAGTTGACAGCTGGGAGGTCTAGGGGAATGTTCACCTACAGATTCCACCACGGTTTTGCGGTTTATGATGGATTTGCGCCCTAATGTATCACTGTATCAAGTTTGGCAAACACTTCGTCTGTTTCTAAAGATGTTCGTTCAACAATTGGAACAACCCGTGTAACCAACGAGAACTCAAAACAGTTCTGCCTCATTTGCCGGGCGTAGTAGGTTGCTGTATGCTATGTGAGCTCACAATGGCACCACATGTCTTAGAGTTGTGTTTGATTCATTGACCCCTTACAGAGCAGCCGAAACAATGTAGCCAGGGGCGAACTGTCTTCATTTTACTCAGGGAGGAGGTCCTGTCCAATAGAGATCTGCCCTCCCCCCCAAGGAAAAAAGGGGAAGAAAGGTTAAAAAGAGGCTGCAAGGAGCTCTTCAAGATTTCCCCAAAAGCTCTATATGGGGTTTTTGCAAGGCCATTTTTCTGAAAGTTTAGGAGGCGATCGCCCTTTAGCCCCTTGGGCCACTTCGCTCTCGAACACATCTATACATCTGAAAGTTTTTACATTCTTTGTTAAAGACGGAGAAGTCATGCCTGTAAAAATATTGGGGGTTAGTGTAGAGAGTTTTTTCAAAGGACTATACACATGTCCTCATCATCATCGGACCAAGAAAATTTGTGTGTGACATCTTGCCTTTTTTTGTCAGTTGACCAACACTGTACAGTAATATAACATGTGCTGAACTCTGAGCTGCCTCAATGTATAATCAGAACACCTTACTGTCAGGGGCGGACTAGAACTTAAGTACCTAGTAACGGAGAATACAGGCCCATCATTGCTTGAACTTGCTCAAAGTATGTGTTTATTCTGCCAAGCACTGGTTCAAAATCCTTCTATTTTACCATGAGCCCATTGAGAGTTTTCCTTGTGTTCCAGCCTGCCTGTCTTGTCCCTGTTTGCCCCTGGCTCTCATCATGTTTGCTTCTCATTCAACTGATAATATTTCTACCAAATAGGATGAAACATTTTTACTTTCTCGCTCCCCTAGTTTTTATATTTAAGTTTGGCAATTTGCCTAGAAATGCTTTATAAATCAACGCCTTTGATCAACCAGAGTCCAAGCGGACACCAAGAGCGCAACTATTAAAACTCCGGAGTAGTCATGTGGTATCATGTTCAAATGGAGGAAAATCTCAGCTTTTAGCCTGTCTCAAATTACCGAAATTTCTGAATATATAGGTATTATGCTCGCATCTTTGAATGTGAAAATCACTGGAACTCTGGAGTACCTAGGTATTTGGTGTCACGTGAAAATGAAGGCTAATGAGGCTTTTCGCTTGACTCAAATCACTAACGTATATGAAGCTGCGACATTCATGGGAAAATGAGAAATAGCTCACGTCTTTTGAAAACCGCTGGAATAATCGCGTATTTGCTGTGATATTGAGGTGAATTCTTCGTGTTTACATAATTGCTGGAAAAATCGAGTAATTGCCGCGATACTCAGTGCCAGTCACTGATGTAGAATGAATTTTTATGTAATTTTTTTTATTCAAAATCTCAAATGAAGTAAGATTTCTAGGTATACATATGTAGTAGTGGCCTCGTGGGAAGAATTTTACCGAAAATGTATTGCAAAATTTTAACTACCTAAAAGCATTCTCTGGATTTATATACAAGAATTCTTGGTTGCCCCCTTATGAATCCTTAGCTATTTTTAGTCACAAAACGTGAACCCAAGTAGAGAGAGATGTCTTTTTTGAACCTGAATCTAAAGAGATCGTGCTCCACTTGCACCACAGAAAATTGCGAAGAAATCTTGTGAAAAATTAACATTTGAGTTGTATTTTTCTTTCAACGGATACGATTATGTGCGCGGGTCAGATACAGTGGCATGAAACCGCCGTCAAGTCAAATAGGCTAGAAGAGTTCGCCCGAAGAACCGGAAAGAATGTACCAACTAGGTATTGAGAAAAATTTTATTAAAACAACGATCAGGCAGCAACGCAGCCGAATGTTTACCGATCAGGCGTGTCTCGCTCCCAGGAAGCGAATTCCAGCGTAAAATCAACCAGTTGATAAAAAGATTACTCATTGACAGTTATCCGTTCATTCATGGTAGATTGGCAGAACGTGCACCGCGAATTTTTAGATAACATCCCGCCACGAAGAGCAGAGAACCTTTTAGTAGGTTTGTAGCTGAAGATCATGATCGAAAAACGGGGCAACTAACTTTTTTTCGGCAAACTTCGATCCTCATTTTGAAAATCAACTTCAGCCAAGATTCTGACTTGACATTTTCGGGAAGGATTGTGGAAGTTTTTCGGTTGAAGGTCGGTAATTTTATCGAAAGGGGCCCCTGCAAGATCTCTCTCATATTCTCCGACCTTCAAATGTATATATATCTCAAAACAGCTCCCGTCAGTTTAAAACGTTTCTAACTGCACTTTTTGCAAACTCCCTAGCGGAAACAAATATTAATGTTTTGAGATGAGAGCTCGAATTTTTTCTGAGGCAACGAGGAAACGACTTCGCCTTATTCGCAATTTTTAGATCAGTGAAGTTAGGAACCGCAGCTCACACACTTTAGGACGGTAACGTTGTTATTTATTTAGACGATCGAAGCATTATTCGGAAAATTGACATTACCACAATACATTAAATCAGTCATAGTTTACATGGCCGGATTTACCCACTTGCCGCCCATGGGCCGCCTGTATTTTGCCGCCCTCCTCTCATTCATTTTGAAACATCAGTAAAAACCATCAAGTGAACGTGCCGGAGGGAGAAGGTTGCATAGGACGCGTTCACTAGTGTTGAACACATTTTTTGCATAAGCTCTGTCAACACTACAAGCAAAAGTTCACGGAACTTCGCGCGAAAGTTCAGTTCCGTAAACCTATCTCTGTGGGGACAAGGCCTTTCATTTGTAAGAAATGAACTAAAAAATTAAGAAAGAACAAACATAAGTGTGGTTTAATAATTTTAACTTCCGCCGCCGTGCCGTGCTAACCAAATTGTATTTGGCGCAATGCGTGAAGTATTCATGTAGTCTTGTAGGCACTGTGCGTTTCACGCTGCGCCGACCGCTGTTGACCGTACTGTGTTTGACGCAATGCGTAAAGTATTCATGCAGTCTCGTAGGCACTAATATGTGTTACATGCCGACCGCCGCGTCGAGGGCTTCTCCTTTTCATCTCAAGTCCTCGTCATCATTTGCGCCTCTCCAGGCCAAATTACGTGTTAGGTTTCTCTCTTAACTCAACTAATTAAAGGTGCGCAGTCTTTTGTATCACCGAAATACGACAAAATTAGAAATTAATGAACCCTCAGGAAATGAGAGATTTGGTCACCTTTTCTTGTTTGTAATTTTTTTCTGAATCCGATTTTTTTGTACCTGCATTTAAAAAAATTGCAAAATTTGCCGCCCCCTAATTTTGCCGCCATGCACGGAGAAAAGAACTTCGTGCATGGGACCCGAAGTTTAGGTCATATGGATCTCTGAAGTTTTCGGATTGAGCATCTGAACACTTAAGGTCCAGCTGCTGATGTTTGGATCATACATATGAAACTTCAGTTCTTACATCTGAAGTACTTCGGTTTTCACATCCGAAGAACTTCGGTTCTCACATCCGAAAAACTTCGGTTCTCACATCTGAAGCACTTCAGATGTACTTATTGTATGTATTATGATGTATTCAGATCTTAACTTAATTCCAGCGTTGCCTATTGTGCCGTAATGCCGTATGAAGTAAACCACCGCGCTTTATATCGCTACCTCTACAATTTTCCGAGTAATAAATTATTTAAAAATTTAAATAAAAGTATCACAACGTCCCCTAAAATCGCAAAAAATGGGTATCTGAGAACGATGTGTAGAGTTCCCTTTTACTAACTTTAATAAAGCTTCCTTGTTAGGATTTTTTTTTGTTTTCCTTCTTTAGGAAAACGTGTTTTTAGAACAAAGTAGACTGTCGTTCGTACGGCTTCTTTTTCCTCAAACAAGGTAAAACTGGTAGCAAGAGTCACGGCAACAGAGGCAAATAGTAACAGTTGGACCGTGGGAGAAAGTGTCTCGAGATGACCGTAACCATTCATCAAGACCATCACGGCCAATGATCTGCATGTATCTCATATTTTAGGTTTCTCCTCAATTAAGAAGGCAGCACCTGGCTATGAGTGGCCGTGGAATGTGTGCTTTTCCAAATGGACCGCGTTAAACAGGAAGGAACCAAGCCACACCAGCCATTGCCCAATGGGCCTGTTGCAAACTTTTGCTAGAGCAAAAATAATAGTTGTTTCTCATGGAAAGTGTCTCAAAAATCACGATGAGCGCATCGGCAAAGTCTGAAGTGCACTCCTTGCTTCACGATTTGCATAAGAAATTTGCGTTTTTTTGAGCTTCCCGCCTCAACAACGATACCATGGCACAGGTGAACATCTCGTTAGAGGAGTTATTCCACCCAACCTGGATTCGGATTCTGAACGGATCTAGGTTCTTTGTTTAATTTGCCACCGGACTGATTTTGCATTAATCGATAGTCAAAGTGCAGAAAATCGTAGCTCCATTTGCGACGTTGCAGACTTCCCGTCATAATTTATTGTATCTCTGGAAAACACGCAGTATCTTTAGTCAACGCAATTTCTTAAACACTTCCTGAACTTTTTTCTCTATTATTAGAATATTCCGTATACATTTCATGCCATAAAGTTGGCTTGTTTTTCCTCGAAAAATCAAAGTCGAAAATCAAACAAATCAAATTTTGTAACAACGCAATGGAGGTACAATTTCGTAAGTTAGCCATCAAAATGTATCAAATTGGGGGTTTGGTTCGGGACGTGATCGATTGCCTCCGAATTCTGATGGATCGTATTCGATAGTGGTT